ACATGGTAGGTGTACGATAATAATCACTTGACAAAGACTTTGAAACCTGGTTAAAATTGGGTATTTACTTGCATTGAGATTGTATAAATAAAATGGTCACACAGAAAACTGCATCTGTCCAATCATAAAGAGTGAGAAACAAACAATTACTGACTTCTTTGCTTATGATTACCCCCCCCCCCTATAAAAAAACCTATGAGGATTTCATGTTTTTATTATTATGCTATTTGACCCCACTGCTACAAAATTGCTATATAGCATGCCATCAGTGTTAAATTATTGACCGAATATAAATCGACCTTCTTTGTGTATAGGGGTGCGTGATCTTTGACGCGTTGAAAGGAATTAGATTTTAATTAAAAAAATTAAAGGCGAGAAAAATTACTCACGAGCACGCTTACGGGCCAAAATTTTGCATATTACAAAGAAAACAGTAACGGTGAACCGATGGGTTCAGATAGCGTCACCACAATTATGGTGGAATGAGCCTAAAATAAAAACAAAAACGAGTCCTATTTGTTGTCCTGCAAATTGTCTTCCCGCGTTCTAAGCAGTCAAGGCATGTAGATTCATTTACTCGTCGTGCAATTTCTTTCTTTCGAAGCATCAAAATTACTCAAAATGCCTAGTGGGCTGCATAACAACTACAGGGTTAGCAGAAAAGAAAGTGACCGTTTTATACATATGATTTTAAATATGTGGCTCGCTCCTTTTCATAAAAATAACATATGGATTAAATTACATGTTATTGACTGTCTAGTAACTGTGAAATGTTCATGTAATTTTCAGTAATGACTACATTTGAACATTGATAACGAGATTACAAAATGCATTTGTCCACCACTGATCATTTACCGTTCTACGAACTGATGAGTATGCCAATTAAAAATTGCAAAGCGACAGAAATCGTCATCAATATTTCAGGGGAAAAATAGAGTTGACTTGTTCCTCATATTTAAAACACAAGATCTGTTAGTAAACAATAATGATTCTGTCTTGACTCCAAATTATTGATTAAAATTTCATTTGTGTACAAATGGCTGCGTGTAATTGTAATTCTCACTCGGCTCAGTAACTTCCAAGGACATTCCATGGACAGCTATAAAAATAGCATAACTCCTAATTGCATATATCAATTTCATTAATTCGTTTGTTCAGATGAGTGGAAGAATATGTTCTTTTAAGACGTACTTCATTTGTGTATCAAATTTGATTTTTTTTTAAGAAGAAACAAATCTTGATCCATGTCACTTTTTCTGTATATTAAACCGGTTTAGGTTTTAGCTATTAAATTTTGAGAAAACAAAGAAAATCTATGCACACAAGTTTTGTCTCATAAGTGGACTCCGTAGCATGTCCAGCTGAAAAGTTTCATATTTGTAATCATATTTGTACATTCCCTTAATTAGCATTCAGAACATGATTATCATTTTAGCCATGTGTGTGTGTCCGACGTCAGGGTTCCAGTCATTGAGTATTCCTCGCAGTAGTTTACGAGTTTCTTCAAATTAAAAATAAATTACATGAAGGCACACCGGTTTAGTACCACCTTTAATTATTGTTTTCCCCTGAACGATAACATTTCAAGCGGAACAATATCACAGGGTATTTAGAAGTACGCTTGTGTTCACCTTGAGCAAGGCTGCTCATTATGGCGTTTCGGGTGATTACCGTACTAATTATTGTCTAGGCTTTTATAACGCAAGGGAGAAATTGTAATGAAGTAGCGCACGCTCTGAAGTGTGAAACGTTTGTCACTGTAGCTCGGCCAGTGGTATAATTGCCAACGGAGGTAACTTTGACATTGACATTTGTTTATGGGGAGGGGGATTAATAACTCATACAGCTTCATCACCGCTCAAAAAACCCTACAGTGTGTATACAAAAATGCAACAAAATACAACCGAATGTCAGACGTACAACATGTGACAAACATAAATAATAAATAGGTATGGTTTGAAAGATACGCCTTTCCACTTTCAACTGAGAAACCAAACGTCAAAATCTGATATTTTTTGACAGAGTTATGAGTAATTTTTCAAGGGAGGTCAAATTGACCATGGGACCAAGTTATCAATTTTAGGCATTGGGAATAGCCTTATTGCCTCCGTGTGGATATTTGCCCAGCCTACAAAAAAATATTTAGCATGTAAACATGTTTGCAAACTGATAGCAAAAAAGTATTTAGAGTTGTGATCATTCGCTAAACACATTTTTGTCGGCCAGGCAATAATCCACACAGAGGCAATAAGGTTACCTTTGTTCCAAGCCTAAAATTGAAAACTTGGTCCTATGGTCAATTTGACCTCTCTAGGAAAATTACTCAAAATTCTGTCACAAATTATCAGATTTGGACGTTTGATGTCTCATTTTAAAGTTGAAAGGCGTATCTTTAAAACCATACCTATATTATCTATGTTGGTTACACATTCTAAGTCTGGCATTCCGTTAAATGTTGTTTGCCTTTTTTTTTTTGATACACACTGTATAGTGTGGCATTGGAGTTGCTCGTGTGGATAATTAAGTGATACAAAAGAGTCTTCGTAAATAGACGTACGTGTGTTCTCTACACGTTTCTTTTTGGAGTCTTTTATGTGTTTCGCACGTCACCTGTATTGAAAAGAGTGACCGGGCTTTGTGCGTGGGAGACAATTGCCATTCCACGCTGCGGTCCAGGTAGCTTTTGGGGATGTGTTCAAAATTCTTTTAAAATATCAAGAAATTAAACAATACGAACACATGTACATCTAAAGTAAGGACATTGAAGGGGAAATTCAATATTCAGTTCTTCCTCGTAAAACAAAATAAGTACAAACCACTTCCCGATGTTTAGCAATTAACGCGGCCATGTATACAGGGTGGGGTCAAAAAAGTAACCAATATGTAGTTTGCACCATTTAATAAAAACAAAACATAGGAAGAAGGCCCCAGGTCAAAATGCAAATGGTTCGTCAACCAGAAATGAATGCCCTTAATCTCCTTTCATTTCGTTTCCCGATATGAAAGCCATGACTCTTAGCTCATTATGATAGGCTATTGTGAGGCAGCAGTGTTGTATTAATTGGCCAGCCCAGTGCACAGCCCCATTAGGCAGGCGCAGGCAGAGATAATCTATCCATGACAACAAAAGACGATCAGTTGTAATGAGTCAATTAACAGCCAAAATGGAATGTAATCCTATAAGCTCTCTATATCATTTTATGGACGATGTAGTTGGAGAGTTGAGTGCTCCCGACCGCTAAGCGATTTATTTATCGATTATTTATCATTCCTGGTTAGGAAACCATTTGTATTTTGACCTGAAGCCTACTGACTTGTAACAAAATTCAGCTTTCATTTATCGGTCTACTGCATTGAAATAAGTGCGTTTTGAAAAATAATATAAAAATCGTGTCTTAATGTCTGTGTGTAATCTATGGTTCTCACTGAGCTCAATAGCTTCAAATGACATTTCCCGGACACCTGTTATAAAATTGACTCTTTTAAAATATGCATAATTTCGCATAGCATGCATCAATTCTGGTAATTTTTGTTTTAACGAACGTAATCGATTTATATATGCTTCGTTTGGGTGTCAAATTTAATTTAATTAATAAAATCTTCAATCCGGGCCAATTTCTCTTTGACTCACCCTGTACATTATTATTACAAAAAAACTAAGCTATTGGTTATGTACGTTTACATACTTGGAATGCAAATCGCACACCATGGTGTGCGATTTGAAGTTTGGAGAAGGCAAAAATAGATATTTTGTTTAGAAGTATGTCCAAAACCATTGTGTGCCCCCACAAATCAGGGGAAAAAAGTATCATACAAAACGCGATACAAACGTATAGAAGAAAGTGCGGTTAACATTTCGAGTAATTTTATTTCGAGGCATCATTATGCGTCCACATCGTGTTCGAACCACTGATCTCTGGTTCGAACGTGTAAAATAAATATGGCTGCTCGATTTTTGTTGATATCGTACCAAACGTATACGCATCTGCAGTTTGATCGACGTTTCATTAAAAGCTGTCCAAGATATTTTCAGACGATTAAGCAGAAACGAGCGAGGTGTGTATTTATTCAGCATCGGTCGAACCGTTGTTCACGTATCGATCGAAGTACGGTTGCCGCGCAGAGAACTGTTGGCTCGGAAACGATATGTCAACTACATGTACCTAATTTGAAGGGAGACCAGTTGATAGTTTTCCCTGCCAATTTCTAAAAATCGATGATTCAGTTAAGTCTGAATTTGAATGCACGTCTTTAATGCCATTTCAATTCAACGTCAGTTAATAATAATAATAATAATAATAATAATACCGGAGTCTTATATAGCGCACGTATCTACCAGCAATTAGGTATTCAAGGCGCTGGAAATTATGTCTATTATTAAAGAAAGGTAAATACAGTTAATGAGAAATATGAGACCCATTATAGCACCTTATAATGGTTTACAAGGTGCTGCCATGCGTTGCATATAGCAGCCACTGCCAGAAACACCGGGGCAAACCCCTTCTTTTGTAGCGATAAGACTGTTACTGTTAACGTGCATTACCCAACACACGGGACCTATGGCTTTACGTTCCATCCGAAGAACGAAGCAATAATGGTAAAGTGCCTTGCTCAAGAGCACAAGCAACATGTTCCCACGGTCAGGATTCGAACCCATGTAACACGGCACACGTATCGCACACTGTAACCATTGGACCTAGCACCTCTGTTCAATCGTCCGTGCACTCGATTTTGAGAAACAGACGGCCAATACACAAGCATACCTTGTCTAAATTGATTTCAGGTACAGCTAATTTGATTAAAGAAAACCTAGTTGTAACTGGTGCCAAAGGCGTTAAACTAAAAGTGAAATAGATGATGGTGAATGTTTGAAATCGCCCTCTAAAAGCGGGAAAGAAGTCTTGTCAACGAATCTGAATGGATATAAACGAAAAGTATTCAGACGAGTTGACATAACAGGCGCAACTGTTTCAAGACCAATTGTTATATGCAAAGGCGTGTTGTAATTGCGCACATAAATAACCACTGATCTCAATTTAGGTGCTGGTGGGCTGACGTCTGACCATGAAAACACTGTATTTGTTTGGACACCAATTTTCACCGGTTGCTATGAGTTACCATTCAACACTCTTCAGACTCATGCAGAACCATGGAGTTTCAAGTACACGTAGGTCTGGGAACTAGACTAGGCAATGAAAGAAGCTCCCGGATGTCCGTGCCCACCTACACTGATATTTTGTAGACGGATCAGGGATACAATCATGCAGTTTATGATATCGCCGCACCGACACGCATGCGCATAAGGGAGGGATGATGGAGCATTTGGTTATTTTCACTTGCACGTTCAGCTCAGATGTAGGTGTGTATCCGTGCATGCTTTCTAAATTTCGTTTGCCTTCATGGATTATATAAAGTAATGCTTAACTATTTTACCTTAGATAATTCTACACTCATCGGCAAAACCTGGTCCTAAGAAAGGAAAATGGCAACATTGCTCTTGGCTTTTGGAGGTTCTTCGGTCTTCAAATGTGCCACCAACTTATTGGTATCGATTGTGGCGTGCGTAGCAGCAACCGTCGCCTGTGCCTCGTCCTGGCAATGGCGGGAGGCGACGTACGCGGCCCAAGAGCACCGCGCGTTGGTCGGCCACTCGATCGGGAGCCACACGGGCGTGACAAGGTCCAATTGCGCGGTACTGTGTCTGAGGGAAGGCGACATCCAGTGCCGGTCCTTCAACTACGACAAAACCGGCAGGACCTGTCAGCTCAACGGCGCCAGGGTGGAGGAATTTCCCGAGAGCCTGGTGGAGGATGTTGACTTCTCTTACTACGGCGCGCAGCTTGAGGAGGTGAGTTGGCCTTATCCAACATACCCCAATTTTGCTTGTTTAAGTATATTGAGCAAGGCACTTAACCATTATTGCTTCGTCTTTCGGATGGGATGTAAAGCCGAAGGTCCCGTGTGTTGTGTAATGCACGTTAAACAATTCAGTAACACTTATCGCTATGAATTGTTATTGTAATTGCTTCATAGCGCATTTTACTTTTATTATTTTTGATACAAATTTATGGATTTGTTATTTTGCTATTTACCAGTCTTTATTTATGGATGTATTCTCTAAAGGAGTGTGGAATAAATGTCTTCTTGAATTGAATTGAATTGAATCGCTAAGAGAAGGGGTTCGCTCCGGTGTTCTGGCATTGCATTGCTACCGTATGAGGCTGCACTTTCAAGGAAGGAAGGAAGAAAACTACATGTATTTGCAAATAACAAATGAGTCAGTGTATACATTTTTGTACATTTTTCACTCAAATTGTGGGTTAAAATACATCCCTCCGTCGATGTCTTTGTCTAATATTCACATTGAAATTAAACTGAAACATCAATAGCGAGGACCTCTTTTCTCATTTCTGATGAGAATTTTATGAAGGAGAAAGGGGGTCCAATAATGGTCGGATCATATATCTTACGGGCGGGGTGATATTTAAGGTAAGGGTGTCCCCCCCCCCCTCCCCCGCTAAAAAGGGGTCGGGCATATCCCTCCTTCGTTCTAAGGTAATTTGAGAATACATTTAGGAATTCTAGGTCAAACTTTATTATTGTCGGCCCATTGTACAAGTATCATATCAAGTTTATTTTCTACACTCAACCAAAAAAGAAAGTACCCTTCCAATACTTTTTTGTCTAACTCAAAAACTATTGAGCACCTCTCGCTCAAATAACGACTAATCAGTACAGAAATTCCTTTGCAATCCAGCCATACTCTTTATTTGGCCGAAAACGGGGATAATGTGCACGAATGCATGTAATTTACGACAAATGATACCGAAAACAGCTGCACATTTGTATAAATTTATGTTATGGTTCACACTCACCTTGCACGTAGGCCTATACAAAAGGGCAACTTTTTGTCGGTGCCTACTGTTGTTATAAATTGCATTGTTTTCGGCCAAACAAAGAGTATGGCTGGATTGCTAAGGAAATTCTGTACTGGTCAGTCGTCATTTGAGTAAGACGTGCACCATAATTTTTGAGTTAGACAAACAATTATTAAGGGTGGACTTTCTTTTTTGGTTGAGTGTACTTTTAATGTTCTCTCCGTTTAATAACAATAATAACAATCCGTTTAGGCCTAAAACGCGTTTTGAAGCCATTGGGTTTAAACAAAATACACAATCGGCCGTTTGAGGGCTTAAACCTGACGTTTTCTGTGTGATATTTATACGCTGAATGACCGTATCTAATACAAATTGAATTAGGCCTATAACTGAGAGCACTAGAAATCGATTAAATGACAATCGTGTTTTCACGGACCTTAGTCGTCAACTGTGAAATCATACAAGCCGAGAAGGCATGGACCGGTGTAGCCTTTTTTTAATTAAAAAAAAAGACGGTGTTAGGCCAAACAAAAAAATTGTCGGTCTCTGGTCAGACCAAAGTTCCGGAATTGACGCGGTCACGCGGCTTTTTTTTTTTTTTGGCTTTTTTTTCTTTCTTCAAGCTTGGTTTGTACAGACAAGGTGGAGTACTATTTTGCTATTGGGTGTCTTCATGTACATTGGTGTCCTCCATAAGTTGCCTTGGTGCTCTCGATCATTTGCCTTGGTACAATTTCCCATTCCTTGGTGCTCTTTGGTAAAAAAAAATTGAGGAGGTGCGGCAATAGAGGGCACTGTTGGAGCTACCGCGGAACAGTTTGGGAAAAAAACAGATTGACGCGCATGATTAAAATCGACGCGCGCGCTGACCAGAGACCGACTTATTTATTTTTTTGGCCTAATATGTAGCTCTTACGTTGATTCCCACAGCACTGATCAATTCATTTTATCTGAATAAATCTAGAGCCGAGGTGTTTGGGGTGAAATATAATTTATCGAATGGACTGAGCTCCCATTCCAATCAGGTTTTTTAATGTACTGGGTGAAGAAACCACTCTTAGAAATTGAAACTTCCACTCTTTGGCGAAAAAGTGCGGGGGAGGGGGTTCGGAGTGATTTTTTTACTTGATTTTTTTTTTTTTTTTTATTTTATTTCAACAACATATTACAGCGCAAGAAAAGGATGCATAAGACTTTTTTCGAGTGGGGTCTCTTGGTAGAAGATGTGGAAGGAAATTACAGTTTTAGTGGCGGGAGAAAAACCCAAGAATGATATTTTATAGGTAAAAACCCATGGAATCGGGCAGGGACTGAAAACCCAAGAAGGGATTTAAACCCGGGTCACAGCAGCTAGGCGAGGAAAGTACCGCTTCGCCAATCCGTCTCCCCCAAGAGAGAGAGAGAATAATCAAGCTGTGTCAATCCGACTGTTTATTTTTCACACCGAATTGTCTGGTACATACTTTCATTAGATTTTAGAGTGCAAATGAAAGACTGTAAACATTGTATAAACCTGTCTTTTCAGGCAAATACTGATTTTCAGGAGCTTCAGACAACACCAGGTAAGAAACACATTTTTTTTTTCAGGCGCTGTCAGCATAGTTTATATTAGGCCAAATAAAAAAAACATGTTTAGCGTCCCCGCCCGCTTCCTTTTTGGAGGACCCCTCCTTTTCTTTTTCAAAAACACAAAAAATGATAAATTTTAAACAGTTAAATCATTCTGGCCTCTTTGTCTGTTGCATCTATCCCATAGTTATAAAGCTTGTATGTCATTCCCGAGTCCAAGTGGCGGCCATTAAAAAAAAGGGCTGGCGGCCATCTTGGAAAATAGCCCGGTAGGGCGGCCATTTTGTAGGGGTGGGAAAGGGCCTCTTCCTTCCTTTTTTTTCAAAAGGCAGGACGCCAAACATTTTTTTTCTGTATTTTGCCTTACCACCTCTCGAAGATGAAAATGAACTTGTTTATTATTAAAAAAAAACCTTGAAAAGTACATGAGTGATTTGAATGATTCTTGTACTAAAAGGAAGCTTACGAATTGGGCTTTTATATCGTAGATTTTAAAAGTGCTACATGCAGAACTTCACTAAAACAATGGTCCCGACATTTGGGTTTCGTGTTTTTGACTCACCCTGTACCCCATAAGCACACATGAGCGGTGCGGTAGAAGTACAGGCCTACATGACCTTATCGGAAAACATCAAGGCAGGGAATCATAACAGATCGAATTTATTGAAAAACCACTTGGTCCAGGTCGGGTGATCAGTACAGCTGTTATAATTACATCTCGACCTCCCCTTTTTGAAATTAAAATAGGCTTACCGTCTTTTGTTTTGTGCCGTAGCCCCGGAATGGCAGCTCGTGTTTAAAGGTGTGGCGGGCAACGGAGTGAAGATGTACGACATGTGGACTGCAGCGACCTGGAACGAGGCAACGCTGGGTGTCGGTGGGAGCTGGCGGGATGACTCGCTGTACGGATCCTGGAACAGCGGTGATCTGAACATAGGGCGAGTAAGTGCTTTCACAACTTAAAAGGCAATAAGCCATTTGCGAATTAAATTCGAGTAACATCTGGTACCCTGACTTGCTCCAATGCTTGGCACATTTTAACTTTGAATTCTCCAGACCAAAGAGACTGTTGCCTTATCACGTGATTCGGGCAAGCCTTAGGCCTGTGTCAGCAACCCCCAGCTCTGGAATGGTCTGGTGACTTAGTGCCATTCTCTCCCATTGTGAACAATGTATTGATGCTGAGCGTCTCTTACGTAAAAGTGCAAAAGGCCTCGTGTCACTGTGGTATGTCGTGTGGGTAGTCTGCGCCCAATTCTCGTCCTGACTCCCCACAAGACGAGTTTTGGTTCTCAATGAACTGTTTGGCCAAACTTCCTCATTTTGTTGTCTATACGCCTACTTGTTTATGTCTTTCTTCGTGCTTAGGTCAAACTGTCCCTGTATGATTCCAGTAACGTCAGCAGGGTTGAGTTGATCTTCAACGGAACCGGCTCAGATGTCAGCAGTTGGTTCAGAAAGAATCGCCTCATCTCAAGCCCCTGGCAGGACCTCATCTCGACCGCGACGAACTACTTCAGTATTGAAGGTGATGTCAACGAGTATGTATACATTTTTGTCAGCCTGGTTCCCTGACCAATATATCCTGACAATTCTGACAGGCGTATTATTAACCGTCAGGTTAGCAAAGCAAGCAGGATCCTGCCCCTTTCCGGAGATGTCCGCAGTTTTCCGAATACGTTTTTCGTTGAAAGTCGGACAAAGTCGAAAAAGTCGTTACGCTCGGGTTTTTTCCCCGACTTTTTAAATTGTTTTATTTGCCAACAAACTAATACATGTCAGCCTTGTTAATGTCATCAGTCCTTTCGATGACTGCCCCCACTAAATGTCCTCAAAACATTTTTAAACTAAAGATACCTGTATATTGACAGAACAGATCTACGGAGACACTCCACCTGTCTCTGACGAGTTCGCTTTGCTGGCCACTGCTACCGTGCTGCAGACCAGGTCATATCTGATGTATTATATGTTGGAGACTTCTATGTCCTAATAGAGGACAAAGACCTTTCAACTACATTGATATAATTGGCAGAGCCACCCAATGTGAAATTGAAGACCGTCATGCATAATTAGGGATAAAGACATCTGGCGTGGCGTTGTGAACTAGAACTTGGTTGCTACCGCCCGCTAGATGATAATGACGATGATTAACAACCGAGGCCCTTTGAACGGTTGGACTGATAGTGAAGTTGCATTCTTAATCTCATGTTGTAACGTAGCAATTAGCTATAGGCCTCCATAATGAAGAAGCGCAAGAGTCTGTTGTTGTAATTTTTTCTCTATTACTCGCTCAGAGAACGCCGGTTCTACATTAATCACAACTATGGCGGCTGCCCTGGAGATAAAGGCTGGCTGGTAGTGACAGATTCCCAAATGCTAACGGACTGCCAATATGAGCGTCCATCTGCAGAGTACCCCTACCCGATCATACTCTACAGCAACACGGCGGGCAAAGTAGTGTGGCAGGACGTGCTAACTACAGGTACGTTTGGTATAATAAGCGGAGGCTAGGCGTGGGCAACGGTCCTTAAGCGGGGCATTCGCTAGTCTTGGTACCTTGTACATTGCGTGCGCATTAGCGCGAGCCTGAGGTATGAACGGAAATACTTGAGTATAGTGCCAAAGCAGACACGGGTTTGATTAATCTTGTTGATAGCGCCCTCTGCCGCCGATAGCGGCTTCAATAGGGGAACACTGAAATTCAAATCTAGCCTTGGAACAACACTTGGCATTAGTAGGCAACGTGGGTGGCTAGTACATGTACATTAAGCGCTCGCCTCTAGCTGTCACTACTGCGGCCCGGGTCCGTTTCTTTTTCTCAGGGCTCTCCGGTTTTCCTCCCTCCGCAAAAAAAATCCACAAGTCGATCTCTGGCTGTGCTCCGTGGTCGATCAGACATGGGTCATTATGTCGGCTGCATATTAATTCGCCTTCACATGCCTCGGCTTGGCCAGGTTGTTCACGCGTCCTTCGCAATGCAGCGTCTCAGCTGCGAGTAAGGATGATTAGCTCCCCAAATATTATAACTTTTCCACTCCATTTTCTTTTCTTTTGTGATTTTGCCTCGGAAACACCAATATCCCATTATTCATATCTCTTGTTCGAATGAGAAATCGTATGCCAAATCTGTCAATGTAATATTACTCGATCGCTGTTTATTTCCCATAAAAAGTCCTCCGAAAAAAGTGAAATATACTTCAAGTTCAGTAAAAAAGAAGAAGAAGAAGTTAAATTTGAAAATAAACACGACAAAATATATAAAAGCCATATTTAGGGTATTCATGGAGATTTGAACTCGGACAGGTATGGCGGCCGGGCAGCGGAACAGAAGATGAGTGAAAACAAAATTTCAACTTGATTTGAAGACTCAACATAATAGGACTAAGGCCTAGTTATTTATCTCATTGCGATTTTAGAGGCTATAATTCCAGCCCACCGTTGTGCTTTCTGAAAAGGGCGTTTTGTCAGTGACTACGGCCGCGGCTATACGGACGTCACGTGGGGATCATGGTATGGCCCGCGTTTAAGCGTTCGGTTAGCCCGGCTGTCTGGCTAACCCGCCTGACTTTACCCGAGTCGACCCGGGTAAGCTACTCGAACGCACCCATTTTGGCTGGCGAGTGACCTACCCATAATGCTTTGCGACGCCAGCCTCCCCCCCCCCAAAAAAAAAAAAACATGAGCGGAAAAGTAAACTACTATTGGATTATTTTCCCATGTTCTGAGTTCATTGTTTTTCTTTTCTTCAATTTTGACATTGCAGGTGCTGATACAGTTGGACGTGCCGCCTACCTAACCATCCACATCAATGTCGAGTAGACCGCATATGTAATTTAATATGAAAAAGAAAATCAGCTGAGTTTATTATTATTCAAGTTATGCGATACTCAGACTATGAAAGCGGAAACATTGTGCTTAACTTTGTTGTAGGATAGAATGCACACACAAATTATATTGACTGTGAAAAAAATGTGGAAATTCCCGAATGTTACCTAATATAATTATCAGACCAGAAGGCATTGTTTGATCTGCCCATTCATGCTCTTACAGACGGACGTTGTACAACAATTTTATTCGATGCACCATTAATAGAAAGCACTGTCATGAACAGGGCACCGCCAAACATAGCTGCATGGACGAAATAAAAGATTGTGTACATAGAGCCTAAATGTAATGTACAATGTGTATAAAAAAAGAAGAAGATACATTTAGAAAAAAACACGTAGTTGGAACCTACGATTAATTGATTAAACTATTTTACATAATCATTGGAGCATAAGTTTAGGTTGTTCCAACTCAACATAGATTGGCAAAGAACAATAAATAAGTAAGTTGGCCAACAGAGAGATCGCTGGCATGTTAATCTCCTTTCACCCACTTTGCTGCAAATTGCACCACATTGACATATCCTTTTCAATTAACCGTCGGTATCTCTGGATGTAGGTGTCCAAATGAGATAGGAAAAACAGCATTGTGTTGAGAAATAATAATTTTTTAAGCGTATTATTATTCAACAAAATAGAAGTAAGTAATTTTAATATTGTTTTTTTTGTTCTCTAAATGTATAATTAATTTCTAAACACACATGTTTGGAAACGGCGATCGAACAGAAAGTCAACACGAAACTGGAGTTGGTCGATTTTTAGTCATCGATAAATTTTCCACGGCCGCTTACTTCGCAAACAAATTGATGTGCAGTGTTATTGGTCCATCGGTTTAATTGTAACACTAATATTTCAAATAGGTTATAGCATAATTATTTATGTCGGGAAATGTGGCGTCAACCGTGCAAGTCGTATAGGCTATATGCGTCACATAATTATTTATATTGGGAAATGTAGCGTCAACCGTGCAAGCGCATAGGCTATCACTTCGTGGTGCAACTGACGAAGAATGTACAAATAAATTATAATAGCAATTGTTCGCTTCTGTACATAAGTTAAGACACGAATTAAATGCACAGACCAGAGTAAGTTATGAAAACAAGTGAAAATGTTATTATATTCTTGTTGTCTATTAAAAAAGCCACTCATATTTAATTAATAAATTCGCGGGTTGGAACTTTTACCTGCATTTGTATTATTGGAAATGGCATTCGATTGTATTTTCTTATAACAATTTATGTAAGAGAAACAGCTTAGCAACTTATATATTAGTTGGAGAATGTGACAAATTAAAAAGAAAATAATTTATGAGAAATCGATCTCTCCTAACAACTCAATCTAGTCTTGTCTGAAAGAAAACATGCACAAGGTTAGCAAGCAAAGAGCGGGGGGGGGACGCCCATTGAAGTAAAAACTGTGGACAGCAACGTACCCCCCCCCCCCCCACTTTACGCCTCCCTCTTTGTCCATTTAACTCTCTCCACCCTCCGTACCCTTGAACAGCGCCACCTAGTTGCATTATGGTGTCGAGTCCCACCCACATTTAACAGCTACAACCGTTTCAAGGCCAAGACAATTTGGGTCAGATACATTGTTGAATTTCAACCCATTTGTACACAACCCAATTTTTTTCTGCGGCCAATAATTTTTACTTCTAAAAAATTTGAAAAACAAAAAATGGTTTGCCCCTCCCCCAAGCCAGCGAACCCCCACCAGCGCCCAGGGGAGAGGGCGCCGTCACGGTGGACGAGTGAACGGACGAGACTGGACACCATGTGTCACAAGGTGGCGCTGTTCGTCCTGGCGCAGAAGGGGCGTGGTGGCCAATTAAATAGGTGAAAGGGGGGGCTAAGAGAGACACTTGCGTTGGGGGAGGGGTTTCATTTCTCTCAGCATCCCCCGGATCCGGCACTTGGGTCGCTGTCCCGGGTTTTTTTTTTTTACTGCAATACGTGTGGTCCCCCACCCCCGTACATCTTTGTAAACAACGGAAATCGTGGACCCCCTATCGTTCCTTATCCTCATTCCTTTGTAACTTTTTTAGCAACAGCTCTCATTGGTTTTGTACACGAATTTCAATCATGGATTATCAGTCAATCCTGGACGTATTGTTTGCGCCCTAACCCTTTTGTCCTAGGTCCACGACTGCCGGTGTTTACATACTCACACACAGACACCGGGCACTTCACTTGTTACCCCCGTGCATGCCTTCAATCAGAAAGTATGAATTATAAGGAGATTCGGAATTGTATTTCATCTTTTTTTATTTGGTACATTGACCAACTACTATCAATTGTTAATCTATTTGGGAATGTTATTTTACATGAAGTATAAACAAAACCGAATGCCATTTCTAATAATACGATTCAACAAAAAAAAACAGATGCATGTACTTCCAACTTTTCATTAAATAAGTGAATTTTTAAATATTGTATTCTCAATTTTTTTTCATAACTTACTCAGCTGCAGTCTGGTTTGCGCATTTTAGTTCGTGTGTGTAAATTATATACAGAAGTGCTAATAACATTACTTATTCTTGCTAGTACATCAAATCTTTTGAAATACATGCATTAATATTTTACAATACTAAATGAACCAATTAGACAATGTACTCCAGTTTAACCTTTGTGTTGACTTTCTGTTCGATCGTGGTTTCTAAACAATATACATAGTCTTTTATTTCGTCCACACAGCTATGTTAGTGTGTGTCTGCTGGCATGAATAATAAGGGAATAAAATGCTTGGCTGGTTTTAAACAATACGTTTAAGACCGGCTTGGAGGCTGGATGCTGATAATTACCCAACTTGATAATAACTAAAAAATACCTTTTGAAGTCCGAATGTCAAAGGAATAAATTTCCAAAGGTTTTGTTCAACAATAATATTTTACTTCATGTTTTTCGAAACACCCGTCTAGCTATGGTACGGTAGGTGCCTCTCGCGAGTAGTAGTAGACAACTCCGTATATGAAGATTGGCGCGTGCGTAGCGCCTACTGCGTGAGTGGCGCAGAACGCGGCGGTGACGGTGTAGTATGAATTTGACTCATTGGTAGTATTGCGCATAATGCCCAAAAGTGAGGATTGTGAACGTTCGGCCAATAAAAGGATAAAATGGACCAGACTTCATAGGAGTCCAAATTGCATGCGACACAAGAAAAGTGGCTCTCAACCAATAAGAATGGGTAATTATTGTATGAATTAAGTATTTATGAGTTAGATATAAAAGTCCGTTTTATTCATTATTTGTCCCATAACATTGCGCATAGCTGTTACGAGCATGAATATGTGGATTACATGTAAACAACATATGCATGTAGCCTCATTTAATGCTATACTGTTCTGAAGATTATATCACTTAACTTCCAAGCTAAAGCGAATGTTCACATAATTCTTTTTCGCTATGCTTTTGTGTGCATTATATTATATACAACAGAGGCAACTACATTAGGCCCTATTCTCCTGCAATTGTAAGGATTAATTTCATGAAGTGACAGATGGAATGTTTCATTCCACGAGGCAAAACCGAGTATTGTTTTAAACAACACCTGAATAAATCCTCGTCATCTGATTGGTAACTTGTAAATTGGTGCTTACGTTAATGTTCTATTTTTGAGTGAATGGATATACAGCATCAGAGCCATCAGAGCCGTGTTATAGCGCCACCAATCCCTTCTATTAACCGTAAAACCGAACTTCTATTTTTGCGCTGAGGCCGGAATAATCCACAGCAGGAGTCTATGATATGCGAACAGATTCGGCAATTTAATTATGCAAAACTAAACCGCGTCTTGACCTCCAGATTCTGACCATTCAGCGGTGCCTTGTATCTGGTCTTCTGTAACCCGTTGTTGTATTATAAAAACATGTCAGCCAAGTTGACCAATCAAAAGCTTAGTCCACATTTCTGATCGACACGACGTCACAATTTCTGAAGTCAACTCAGATTGGCTGGCGTAGGGTCGCATACATTTTGCAGTGCTCACATAAAAACCACAGGCGTTGGATATCGACAGGGCTCCGTTGAACAAAGGGTGATACTCAGACTAGGCCGTGGGTTGGTCCCAAGGAGGAATAATTCAATGACACGCGATCAACGACCCATCAGATGACGGGGATGTATTTAGGCGTTGGATAAAGTTTCATCAATAGTAATGTCAAATTTTTTTTTTTAATCATAATAAGTGTTGTTCTGGTCAATCTCTGGAATTGCTACTCGACATCGATATGGATGGTTAGGTAGTCCGCACGTCCGACTGTATCAGTACCTGTCAAAATTGTAACCAAACAAAAAACAACGAAATCATAACACAGGGAGAACACTTTCCACAATGGGGAAAACACCGCCACCCAATTTAATGGGACTGGCGACCTTTTGTGCAGGAAATGTCGGCGTCGAAAAGCATTGTGGGTATAAGTCACTTGCCATAAGTAATGTAAGCGGGTTTCTTGCGCACGGGTGCTGCGCAGGCGGAAGTGCTGACCCAGGCTTGCATCCAAGGAGCTTGCAATTAGAGGTTACCTCCATGATTCAAGTTAATTCCAGAGATAATTTGAGGGAGCATGCGGCGCGAAGGTGTGGAAGATCGAAAAAGAAAAGCGTTGAAACGGCTCCGTTACAGCTGGTAGTCTCGAGGATATAAAGTAAAGAACCATTTTATACTTGGCAACTGTGGCACATGCCTGCTTGCTTGGTTGCATGCGACAACACACATTGGTATAGGGTAGGCGAGCTCGCCTTGGCTCAAGACCAGACTTTGAATTTCGTTCCCCTAATCCAACCGGTTTCTCTTCCCTGGCAAGCGTGGAAAAACCGGCATTATAAGACGATGTACGATCAAAGACGATCATCAAAATTTACCCGAGAAATTCTGAGCATGCCCAAGGCGATTTATTGAAGCTAGTGTGCATCAATGAGGTATGCTCGGATCATGCTCATGGCGCCCCCTACGGCAGCTTAGTAACTGGTCTATGACCGTCATATATCGCAGTAATATATAAATATTTGCCGAATTAATAGTCTATAGAACAGAATGATAGCATTATGAGAGCTCTGACGCGAAAACCACTTTCCAGAAAACTTCTTTGAAAAGCTCCAATGTTTCCCCGCGGGTATTATGAAACCATTGTTCTCCCAAGCGATTTATATTCTGTACGAAGTTTAAATTCTATATCACACGTAATTTTCAATCTTAATTTTTGGAACAACTTGTGCTAATTTCCGAAATCGTAACATTTCATTGCAATAGAGGCAATGCATATTATTATGCCCTTTTGCTGGGAACATTTTGGGGATTACGCGTTCGCGCCTAATGGCGTATGCGCATATACCGGAACATTTACGTACCTTCAGTTATTACTTTGCGCCACTGTACATTGCCCGCCGTCCTGCTGTATAGTATGATCGGGTAGGGGTACTCTGCGGACGAACGATCCCAGTCGCAGTCAATATGCGAATTGGACTCCGTCACAACCAGCCAGCCGTAATCTCCAACGCAGCTCCCGTACCGACGATTGATGAAGAACCGGCGATCTCTTAGCGTGTGGAAGATGGGGAAAAGGGATGGGAGATTAAAGAAGGAAAACCTCAGAATTGCCACCATAGCGAGGAAGCATTTTTAAAACTTGAAAAAGATTTACTCGCTTCGTTATTAAGTATGTAGCAATTTACGTAAGAACTCATTTAATGGGCTGATGGTCACCATGAAACAGTGGCGTATTAAAGTAGGCCTATTGCGCACCAAGTCTGGTTCCGAGACGTGAAGAATCCATAGAGCTATAGCTCTATGGACGAATCTGACGTATCCTGACGAATCTGCGATCAGGTAGGCGCCAATGTCACTTGACCAAACCGGGTAGGATTCCTTCTGCTTACCTCAGACCGAAGTTTGCCCATAATGGGGATACGTTTCGTTTGACAATTGTGGCGGATATGTTCTTGATGGTTTGGATGTTTCTTGATGCATATTATCGTTGCATTGCAAACACAATGCCTGCCATACCTTTCATCGGTTTGAATTCATTCAATCGAAATTTACTAAATATAATGGTGTAGGCGTAATAGCACGATAGATACTCGGCTGAGTGCAGAGTAATTTGCTTCGTCATGTCCTGTCTTGGGAATGTCAGACTTGTACGTGTATGACTCGTGACTCGGACCCGGACTCGAGTCCGATTCGAGTCCCATTTCCGTGACTTGGACTCGAGTCACGATGGCTCGGACTCGGACTCGACCCTGCGTGACTCTGAACTCGACCAAAATTACCACAAATCACTTTTTTTTTCAACAATATAATTACAAATGATTTTGAAGACGATCTTGTCCTGGGCAAGCGATACAGCCTGTGCGAAGCAGACAGAAGAAAAGCATCTATTACTTTACATACACAGCGCCTGCGGCTAGCTGGCTTCCGATATATTGATTTGAGAAATCAATTTATCGAAACATGTACCCCAGCGTTCACACTTGATATTGCGCAAATGCAAGGTTGATGGTGTTTGGTACCAGATTATCCTTTCCAGACACTGGTGCCCTGGCTTATTTGACATGTTATACATGTATTTCAAGTGCAATTTACATTTACACTGTGAGGTTTTAACAGTACCTCAAAATTTATTTCCAATTATTATATTTGGTGACTCGTGACTCGGACTCGACCTGCATGACCCAGGACTAGGACTCGGACTCGGGAGAGGTGACTCGGACTCGGACTCGATGCTTGGTGACTCGTATACAAGTCTGGGGAATGTGAAATTTATAACCTGACCTACGATATAAAAAAAGACGTCGGGGATCGTAAGGTCAGGGAACCATATACTAATGATCAGTTGCCTTTTTTTCTATCCTCATGAGAACCGAAACTGCACTCAACAAACTGTGTTGAGCAATTAAACACTATCTGGCTATCACTTTGTATGTTTAGAAGCTAAAGTCTGCTAAACATTACGTGTGCAATTCCTAAACATCAATGTTCAATTGTAAAATGATCCATCAATACTCTAAACATAATATGTTTTAGTATACATGTAAATTCACAAAGTGATAGCAAGAAAGTGTTTAGAAGAATGTTTAATTGCTTAAAAAGTGTTTGTAGCGTGTACATACTCTTTAGGATGCCCATAGATGCTGAAGTAGTTTGTTGCGGTCGAGATGAGGTCCTGCCATGGGTTTGAGATGAGGCGATCCTTGCTGAACCAACTGCTGACATCTGAGCCAGTTCCGTCGAAGATTAATTCGGCTCCACTGCCATTATTGGCATCGCAGAGGGACAGTTTGACCTTAAAGGTAATTATACAACATTTACAAACATCAAAAACCGAAACTATACCAAATTATTATGAAATACCTTACTTGACTGTAGGTGAATAATAGTCTCAGGCATCCTGTGAAGTCATGGCACCTGGTGTGCTGTCATTTTCAAGAAAAGTGTATTTTGTATCAATCGGCTTATACACATCCGTGAACGGGAGCAAGCCAGCTAGTCTGGTTCCCTGACCTGACAATTCCCCGAAGTCAAGAAATTGCTCCGTTTCGTCTGAAGTAGCGTCAGGGAGCCAGACCAAAGCATTTTTGTCTTGGTTTTTCTAGCATGAACACAAAACTTAAAACAGGTCAGTGTAACAATATTTGCTATAAAAATACTAATCCCCAAATCCGCTCATGACGTCACAGGTCAATGGTCAACAGGTCAATACGTCCACTTCCGAAATTCAGGGAAAATACTCACAAATCTCCAAGGTGTTTGAGACACATATCAAGTTTACAATCTTTCATTTTCCGTAATTTTTTTTTGGGGGGGGGGGGGGTATAATGACTTTTGGGAGAAAAAAAAAATGGATATTGACCGAGACAAACATCGCGCAGAACGTACGCGTTACGCATAATGCAATGTACTTGTACTGTACGATCGATCGAGCGCGAGCACGCTAGACGTCCAAAATGGCGGATCATGCACCGTTCACGCGATCACGTGGATGCAAATTCTCAATTACTATATGACTTTCAGCTGTTTGAAAGCACATGGAACGTGATCCGATAAGACAAGGTCAAGAACGATAACGGGTACGCAATGATTAACTTCATATACGGTTATAACAGCCGCGGATAATTTGCAGATGTACCCCTTTAAATCCAGACCAAGTCCTGAAGCGTGAATGACTTATTTAGTACTTACTCGCCCTATGTCCAGATCACCGCTGTTCCAGGATCCGTACAGCGAGTCATCCCGCCAGCTCCCACCGACACCCATCGTAGTCTCGTCCCAGGTTGCTGCAGTCCACATGTCGTACATCTTCACTCCGTTGCCCGCCACACCTTTGAACACGAGCTGCCATTCCGAAGCTGCGACACAAACGAAATAACAACGAAATTTGTTTTAGTATTGGCTTATCTACCTCAGGCATTCACATTCTTCCCTGCCATTGTACCAATATGATACCCTGCACGATTTGTGACAGATGGGTACCAGTGTCCTTGTACCCAATACACACTCTAGACTATACGCTATGCACTGATGACGTCACACTTCGTTATAGGCCTTTCTTTTGTTTGTAAACATTGGCGCCATTTTGTATGGGCTGCCGTAAGCTCATAAGTTGAAGCCGTGGTTGGCAACATATTTTTCCAAAAAAGTCCTCATAACGCCATCAACACATAATAAAAAGGCAGGACCAAATGTAGGAATTATTTTGTAGCTTTGTTGAAAGTGTTGTATTTTCAAGTATCACATAATATTTTGGTGATCTGTAATAACTTTTCTTCATTTTTCTCAGTGTTGGACCTTCCATAGTTTTGCAGGCCGTGGTTGGCAAAAATGCTGTTTGCCAACCACGCGCAGAAAGGTCTATACTTGTGCGCTTTTCTATTGGGCTACGAAACTGTCCTCACCAGTAGGCGCCCATAAGAAAGAACACATGTAACAAAGTGTGACGTCATCAGCACAGAGGTTATTGTTGCCTAACACATCCCCTCTGATATCTCAAAAAATATTCTGAGATTCCGGGGACACAATGACAACACAAAATAGGGGATGGGGACACCCCCCCCCCCCCCCGACGCCTGCATTATTGCTTCAAATGACAAATTACATCCAGAGAGAAAAAGGTGTCAAACGATCTCTAATTTTGTCCAAATACGATTTAAAATACCTTACTTCAAAACCATAGGGCCCTTTAATGTTTATGACAGGTAATGGCTATTTTTGCACGCGGTTGCTAAGTATTCAGTTCAAACAAGTTCATGTCATATTCAAAAGAGGACAGACAAAATAATGTTGACAACGCATGAACACTTACCCGATGGTGTTGTGTGAAATTCCGGCAAATCGATATATGGCTGGAAAGACATTACAAAAAAAAGGGATTTACTCTAATATCTCCAAAATAGGGAAATTTCATTCTATGACCAATTCGGAAACGGACGATTTTAAGTGAAAAATACACTACTTGATCTAAAGATGTTTAACTAAATGCATTGGTGACTCGCAATGTAAACAAGTGCGAGTGTGCACATTGCACAACATGGCGGTGTTGTAGGAAGTCTTGCATGAAAGTCTTGCATGAAATCGATCAAAATTCAGCCAGAGCTGAAAATGCGACGCCGAAAAATGCGACGCCGATGGCACATATGGAACACCTTACTTTTGGTAAATTTTCCGGGGAGCGTAATTTTTATTTACACCGTAGTGTAGGGCAGTGTTGTAGGTCTCGAGACCGGTCTCGGTCTCGGTCTCGAGACCACTTTTTGCCGGTCTCGGTCTCGGTCTTGGGAGCTGTGGTCTCGGTCTTGGTCTCGGTCTCGGTCCCCTTTGGTTTCGATATTTTGGCTGGTCTCGAGTCCAGACCAGCCAAAAAGTGAGGGGGGGCGGATTCCGCCCCGGCCCTTTTAGGGTTAAGTAAAGAATCAGTTTAGGGCAAATGTGACTGCAGTGTGATGCTAATGGACATAACCAATAACCATTGCTCCTCTTCTTATTTCTCGTTTTTATTGTGGGATGATCTGTTGAGACAAGCACTTTATAGCCATCCTCATTGATTCCAAATACAACTGAGATTTAAATCTTATGAATCAAGACTGAAACATTATTTTTACCGTCAGATTTTGTATTTTGAATATGGGGAACAATTCAACTCTTTTTCCCTAGAAATACTGGTGATTTTTTTTCTATTCTCCTTTTCAATTTTTACTTTATTCGTGGAGGCGGGAAAACGCTTTTTTTCCCATTATATTTATTAATGGATATTCATCAATTCGTAGACCGTTAAATTGGTATTAGTGGTGGACAGCTGAATTTTGTGATCCCTCTATTAAAATAGACACGACTTGGGAATAGAGTATGCAAATTACGTGAAATGTTCACAGTTACTACTCAATAACATGTTCTTTATCCCAATTATGTTTTTTACAAAATGGAGAGTGCCATTTTTTTTTTATCATGCGGTCACTTTCTTTTTGACTCGCCATGTATTCATCTTTTCATCTCTGATAAACACAAATTGAGCTACTGCCATGGTCACACAAAAATAGAGTCTAATTGCCTGCCTCGTCTCCTTCCTAAAGGTCAATTGCATTTGCATGAGTCGAGGAGAATTGTGTTCCATTAATCGCTATATGCTGTTTACGGCCATCACAATAAAATATTAATATATTGGCAATATGTCGTACTTGTTAATCACTAAAATATTCAAGTAAATTGCCCAGCAAGGTAGCCGAATCCTAAAAGTACATCTCACCCACCACATTCAGTTTGTGACAGCGCCCTTCTATTGTGTCGGCCATATTCTCAAATAGGCTAATGACGATGATGACGGCGGGCAGATTAACAGAAGATAGATCAGGCAAATATGGTTCATCGATCTTCTATAGTATATGTAATGGTATTGACCTTAAACAAAAATAAATGGCATTACATTTCAGCCTTAGCCAGGCCTTCTTCAGAGGTAAATGACAGAGGAACAAGAAACAAACATGTAGGGGACACACAAACATGCAGGGTTGGAAGGAGAATCACAAAGAGGGATGGGGGGGGGGGGGAGAGACCAATCCATATCTGGCTACCATCTCTCAATGTTTTGGTCTACATGTACAAATCTATATTCCATGACTGAAATTTTAAAAAATAAATCAATATTTTCTTGCTCCAAATTCTTTCCAATCAGGTTTACAAGGAGGTCCAATGTAAAATTAAAGTTGCATTTAAATATCCGTTAGTGGTCATTGCTGAAACCAAGGGGTGGCTGTGGAGTTTAGGGTCCAAGTTCCTATAACAGATGAAACATCTACCTTTAACTTTTTACTTTTGTCAAGTTTCAACATGTTCAAGTTTTGCAAAAACTAGTACAAATTGTCGTACTCCTAAGTTAGAGTTTCTTCATCAGATTAACACATTATAGTAGTTAAACAATATTAAAAAAAAAAAATTTAAATGTGGCAAAAATATATGGAGTTCATCAAATAAGGTTTTCCCCTTCTTTAAATTAGGTTGTTTCCAATTATTTAAATTGATTGTGACACAATAACAAATTCTGTTGCCATGTTGTAATTTATCTATCCGGTCTCGACTACAACACTGGTGTAGGGTACTTTGTGCGCTTTCCTATGGAGCCATGGTTTCATTACTAGGTTTGAGTGGAGACTAGTATAATTCAACTTGGTGCGGATTTCAGACTTAATATTTCCCTTTTTAAAAAAAATCCTCCAGAGCCTCAAAACTGAAAAGAAAAGAAAATTGCTGCTATACAATTAGTATCCGACTGAAAAATAACGTTTCTAAGATAAGATAAGATTTGGTGCTCGTCCAAACCCTGCAATTCATAAATTATATACTTCCACAGATGTATAGAGAGTATGTGCGCGCGAAGGTAAAAGGTTACAGGATAGCTCTACAATCCTGTAACCTTGATTCAAGTCGCCTGAAAAATGGGTACCCTACACTACGGTGTAAATAAAAATTAGGCGGGCCAAGACCGACCGACCACCAAGTGACTTGTAGAACCTCCTGCCAGAGCTTAAAAATAGAAAGTGGATAGAGCTAGAGAAACCCCTGAAATCTCCTGTTAAAAAGAACCCCCTAGGAGAATGAAAAATAGGCATCATGAAACCCCTTAGAAAGATCGAAAATAGTTATCAGGAACCCCATAAGCTGGTAGAAAATAGGTAGAGGCAATTGGTACTCCCTAAGAAGATAGAAAAAAGTGCGAGTGCACAAAGAGCTCTAGCTCTGGCCGTGTTGCAAGCAGTCTCGCATGACAGTCTTGCATGAAATCGATCAAAATGATCCCTGCCAGAGTTTATAAATGCGACGCCGATGGCATATACGGAGCACCATACTTTTGGTCAATTTTTCGTGGACAGACAGACCGACCAACCGACCGACCACCAAGTGACATGTAGAAGCTCCTGCCAGAGCTGAAAAAAAAAATCGTTCTGTTGTCTCTTTATTTCATTCAGATAAAGTCGTTGATGCTCTAGTTTTGATTCAAGTCGCATGTTCCTTTCAACTTGAGAAGGTAATTGCTTCAAACACACGTGCTCTCATTATTCTTTCTCTGATCTTTCTACATTGTTGCCCACGCCTTTGAGCGACCTTGGCCTTGTGTCTGTGCGATATCCATGGAAACAGTCATACTCGGCGCTGACAATAAAAATTGGCTCACAATAATTATTCGATGGATTGATTAAACGCCGCAGGTCGTACAGGCAAACCAAATTAGCTGTCGTGGCACATGTAGGCCAACACAATAATTATAGGATTGTCCAACATTTTCGCCGTAACTAATTAGAGGACATTATAATTTGAATTTCCTATGCCCCAGCTATTTATTTGAAATGAGTGAATAAGAAAACAATCAAAGCACCGATTTTGACTGTTTAATTCACGTTACCTTCAATTTTCAATTGATGAGGATTAGATGATTATATATATCAACAGGTGTCGTGGGTCTCTTTTTTTAAGTTGATAAATAAAGTCCTTCGGCAAACCTCACAAGCCCCATTCACGTTTGCGAGCAATTCCCGTTGCCAAATTTGCATTTAGACAAACTTTGGCATGCAGTCAGACTTTTTTTTCCATAATTGACGGTTGATTTCCGCACTGGGGAAAGATGATTGACACAACATTGATCCGCTATGCTCTCAGCTTGATATGTTGAATGAGTTTATAAGAGTTGGCGCATCATCCATCAGACAGCGGCGTAAATCCGTACACACCAGGGGTACTCGTACAAAGGGAACGGTACCGTAGCCCACAAGCAGTGGCGCACCCAGGATTTGGTGGGGTTTTTTCGGGAGTGGGGGCTCACAAGTTTTTTTCACAAAAATTGGGTGGTTTTTTTAGGGGGCGGATTATTTTGACGTTGGTGGCGCCACTTACACCCCTATTGCACCACTTACCCCCATGTTATACTACTCGAAAATAGGCCACATAATCACCAAGGTCAAATCGTGGGTTTAAAAATGACCAAAAGAAATTGACAACCTCTTGGTTGAATAATTGGTTGAATAAGTGAATAATTTCTTTACAAAATTCGAACTGTTTTGCGTCCTGACATTTTATTCAAATCGAAGACCGCAGAGTGAGAGGACCAAGATCAGGAAAGCATACTTGCTTCATTAAAAAAAAAACCAATTGTAAATTCGTTAGGAGAAGAACATTCTTTTAAATAGCACGGGACCTCATAATCTGAAGCACATTGCTGACTTAAAGAGGGGTGCTAAACGTTGGTATGCAAGGAGGATTAAAAAACACAAACACGGATCTTTCAGCGCTCACTCCTTAATTAACTTGAGAATTTGAAGCAATCCCGCTTCCTCATAGTTTAGTTCATAAACCTTAAAAAGATCACAACCCCAAATCAATCATTGAAAATTAACGATTTGTTATGTATGAAAAAAACCCCACTAGGGCAAGTAAAAAAAAACACGAAACCCAAATGTCGGGACCATTTTTGTAGTGACGTTCTGCACGTAGCACTTTCAAAATCAAGGATATGAAAGCCAAATTCATAATTCTTTTAGTACAAGAATCATTCAAATCACTCATGCACTTTTCAAGTTATGGGATTTTAAACACAACCACTGTTTTCGTTTCAGCAAAACGAAAATAATTCACATAGCTATAGGGATGTATGTAAATTGTTTTCATTTTGTTGAAAAACCACTTACCTTTTTTGTGATCCGTGCCACAGAACTTTAAAACGGTGGCTGTGTTTAAAATTCCGTAACTTGAAAAGTACATGCGTGATTTGAATGATTCTTGTACTAAGAGAAAGCCTATGAATTAGGCTTTCATATCCTAGGTTTTAAAAGTGCTACATGCAGAACTTCACTACAAAAATAGTCCCGATTTTGGAGTTGCGTGGGTTTTTTTTTACTCACCCTGTATAGTATCGACAAAGGGATATGTATCATAGCATTTGAATGAAAAATGTAAATTATATTTTGCTGTATCCATTTTTTCTGAATAGGTGTAATTTGTCCCATTTCAATCAGCAGAAATTGAAACTAAGGTTACAAATAAATAAAATACAACTCACCTCCTCAAGTTGCGCGCCGTAGTACGAGAAGTCAAAATCCTCCACCAGGCTCTCGGGGAATTCCTCCACCCTGGCGCCGTTGAGCTGACAGGTCCTGCCGGTTTTGTCGTAGTTGAAGGACCGGCACTGGGCGTCGCCTTCCCTCAGACACAGTACCGCGCACAGGGCCTGTGTCACCCCCGAGTGGTTCCCGATCGAGTGGCCGACCAATGCGCGGTGCTCTTGGGCCGCGTACGTGGCCTCTTGCCATTGCCAGGAAGAGGCACAGGCGACGACTGCTACGCACGCCACAATCGACACCAATAAGTTGGTGTCACATTTGAAGACCTTAGAACCTCCAGAAGCTGATGGTAATGCTACCATCATTTCTTTGTGTTTTTCACAATGTTCCGCGGTAATCTAAGTTTATTTTGAGTGTAAAATACCTTGTGCACCTTATGCCCAACCAGGGCACCCAACCATGCCGATAAATCTGATCGCGTCTTGGCCTCGCGCATGCAAGTGAAAACATATTAAACCGAAATAGCTGAAGCATCCATCCCTTCTGCGCGTGCCCAGGGTTGGCATGGCGATAACTAGTATTTTTATGTGCGTAATCACAAAACGTATAAGCTTTCGCTTGACAATTACCGCCTATCTCGCTCGCTCCAATAATATGTCAAGAATGACATTGATCTAAAAAATACAAAAAAAACCTTTCCTTCATGAAATCTCTTCAGGATTTAGTGCGCGTCTTTAATTAATTCGAATTCTTTTCTCGTAATAAATGTTCAATGCGTATGGCTTTTCTATGCTCAAGGAATTTTCTTTTAATGTTTTGAGACGTCTACAAGGGTTTTAATCTTGGGTGCTTTTGCGCGCAAACAAATCTGGCTCGCGAGAAAACTGGTTCGCGGTCCCTACAAGTACTGATCATGGGGCGGGAACCAGCTACATAGAATACCGGGTATGCCCTTGCACACAGTAAGAGTCTGTAACATGCGAGCAGATTTGGCGATTAATAATTAAGCAAAATAAGACAGTGTCTTGACCTCGAGATTCTGAACCTTCAGCGGATGCCTTCTATATCGGGTCTTCGGTAACCCGTTGTTGTGTTACAAAAACAATATGGCATCCAAATTGACCAATCAACAGATTAGTCCATTTCAGATCGAAATGACGTGTATCTAAAGGCGACTCCGATTGGCTAGCTCGCAGGGTCGCGCGCATGCTCAGACAATTATATCAGACAATGAATACGAAGCTCCGTTGGACTATAGAGCAAGGAACAGGCTCCCTGCGAAAACGTTTTACAGTCGGCCTCTATAGTAACTCGAAATTTGTAAAGCAATTTTTTTTTGCTCGATGTCTCGATCAATTAATAACTTTAGTAGCGTATTGCTAGAAAATTAGTAAGTTGAAGGAAGAAGTCTCCTTTTCGGGGCTCAACTCAAAGTTTTGCAAGGGGTACGGTACATCTTGAAAGCGTGGAGATGTAACAAAATACCACACATAACAAAAATTTAAAGGGCCTAATGACATTTCGGTCTGAAAAGCAAAAATATCAGAATACTTAACCGAATTTTAAATAAGGCCCGTGTTGACAATGGCCATGTCGTTTCTGAGCAATTTTGCCACTGTTTCGTGCGGCAACCATACAATCGATACGTGGACAATAGTTCGACAGTGATACCGATGCTGAATAAATATAAGTCTCATTCAAATGTCTTGCCAAATGTTTTTTTTGTGAGAGTTGGTTGAATTACTTACTTACAGAAGCGTATACTTCTGGCACAATGAAAAGGGGGAACAATGACCCACAATATTTATTTTGCATGCCAGTAAAAGACGTGTGCGTAGTAGCCTATGATGTCTGAAAATAAAATTACCTTAATTAAGTCCCTGATGAAGGCTTTTTGCATTATCAAAACTCTTAACTATGAGAGGAGGGGGACTGAGGCAATGATTTTCCGGAGGGGACGCACAATCGCTTAGTCATATAGTTTCCAACAGACATTGCTTTCTTTGACCTTTCCCAATTTCTGAGAGGGGCACAAAATGGGGGAGGGGCGGCCTCGAGGGGGGGGGGGGGTAGGCCACGCAAGGCCCTTAATCGCCAAGCACTATATACATTGTAACACTTTTTTCCCCCAAATAATACCGATATCATAATTTTTTTAAACATACGCAATAATGAAGCGATTCTGATTTTTTTTTTCAATGACATGAGAAGCCAAAAAATGGCTCCATAATGAAACGTGCAGAGAACACAAATGGGTCAATAAGTGTTAATTATCCGCACGACCAAATCGATTGTTTTCTAAACATAATACATGTATACCAGGGCCGTTTCCAGCCTGGTTGAAGGGGGAGGGGAGGGGTCGGTTGTCGTTAACGAACCAGATGCAGAGACCACATGCACAGTTCGCGTCTATGATCATCTCGAGAAATTCCCATGACGCAACTATAGTTCCTTGAGCGGCTGTATATAATTAAATTATTATTATTATTATTATTATTATAATTATTATTTGCAATGAAAATGACTCGCTTCACTGTAGTTGGCAATAATGACTGAACCTGAACAACAAAACGTCCTCACGCTCTAGGACGCATGCAAGTTTTTCATCAATATCTCCCTTCTTCGAAGATACCGAGATCACACAAAAGCTGGGCGTGTACAGTGTGAGCGGCCAATTAGGCCGCAAAGCAAAACGGTATAGTGCCCGGAAATCGGCCCCGGAAATGAAAATGACTCGCTTCACTGCAGTTGGCAATAATGACTGAACCTGAACAACAAAACGTCCTCACGCTCTAGGACGCATGCAATTGCAAGCTTTTCATCAATATCTCCCTTCTTCGAAGATATCGAGATCACACAAAAGCTGGGCGTGTACAGTGTGAGCGGCTAAGGCCGGAAAACAAAACGGTATAGTGCCCGGAAATCGGCCCCGGAAATGAAAATGACTCGCTTCACTGCAGTTGGCAATAATGACTGAACCTGAACAACAAAACGTCCTCACGCTCTAGGACGCATGCAATTGCAAGCTTTTCATCAATATCTCCCTTCTTCGAAGATATCGAGATCACACAAAAGCTGGGCGTGTACAGTGTGAGCGGCTAAGGCCGGAAAACAAAACGGTATAGTGCCCGGAAATCGGCCCCGGAAATGAAAATGACTCGCTTCACTGCAGTTGGCAATAATGACTGAACCTGAACAACAAAACGTCCTCACGCTCTAGGACGCATGCAATTGCAAGCTTTTCATCAATATCTCCCTTCTTCGAAGATATCGAGATCACACAAAAGCTGGGCGTGTACGGTGTGAGCGGCCAAGGCCGCAGAGCAAAAACGGTATAGCGCCCGGAAATCGGCCCCAGAATCGGCCGAGCGTTATCCAACATGGCGTACTTGAACAACATTTCAGGATTTCTTTAAAGTTGACGAATTCTGATTAATCATCATCATCTCCATTTCGTACACAACATTGAAGTTTGCCAACAAAATATTTTAATATTTGGGGGCGCATTATATAAAAGGGTTCATTGTGCACTTCAAAGAAGAAATGATCGGGGAAAAATCACTCTTATACAAAATTTCTTTGTTAACACTGTAACGGGTAACTGGATACGTAAACTCAACGTTTATGACAGGGAATGTTTAATAGCTTGATGAAATTTCACAATTATCTGTGAAATTTGTGGTCTTATTGGTTTTTTGGTTTTTGTTTTTGGTCTACGGTACAGCAAGGCATCATAAGAAATCTACAATTTGTAAAAAAGGGCCCGCGTTCGTTTGAGATCGATCGGGACAGAGTTTGTACCCCAAGTGAAGAGGCGGATCCAAGGGGCACCCCTCCCCTCAACAAAATCTTTGCCATCAATACCGACTCATACCAGACCACAATTAATCATTCTACAAGACAATACAACATGCAATCTCATTTATCAAACCATTCGCACATAAAGATTGCTACAAGTTCTCATTATTCCCAAGAACTTTTGCAGAATGGAATAAATTACCACCGGAAACACATCAAGCACCAAGCATTGGAATCTTCAAGTCAAACCTTCTGTCTCTAAACATAGATGACATCATCAGGGGGCCCACTTCACTTATCTGCTCAGTCACCTGGCGCCTGCATATTACATCCCTGCTGAGGCGATTATAGAGAAAAAGTATAGAGATTTTAACAGGACCCCCTAACAAGCCATACCTTCGGCACGCCTTCACTCACACCCACCCCTCCACATGGGCAGATCCAGAACACAATTTTGGGGGGCCAAAACATTTTTTTTGGTCCCCAAAAAGTGGGTGCCAAAAATGAAGGCGTGGGGTTCCCCCCCCCCCCCCGTTTCATGAAAATTAGATCCGCCCCTGATAGTATGATACTCGAGTTTCTTCAAACTTCAAAGGGACAAATTGTTCGAAGGGAGCGCAGGCTCATCATGGAGACTGAGAATCGCCAGCGACTTGAGACAAGTCTAGGTACATGTTAGTCTGATGACTCGCCAACCTCAGTCTAGTCCCCCGACTGCAATGTTATTTCACACACAAAAATAATGTTATTCCCAAGAATCACGGAGCTATGATATTACATTAATAAATAACAATGATAAACACAACGATTTAATCTTTTTAATACCGGCGGATTGACGTAAACGTGGCCACGAACAGAAGCTGTTTCCGACTGAATACGTCTACTTTACCGTTAAGAGGTATATCTAGAGTTAAAATTAAATTGTCGGGCCTCCGTTTTGTCTCGTTTTGTCATGTTTGTCTCATTTAATTCTTTGACAGTTTGGACGGTTTCCGGTTAAAGTTGCACGACCCGGCGGCGAACGCCGCGCGCCGCGTGGGGTCGGCCTGCGCAGTGCTCAGCGAGTGTTACATAACAGTAAATATTAAAGGCCAGGCGCAACTCGTTTTAAACGATATCATGTTGCGTGTGTTTCACTTTCAGTCCCTTTCCTTTGCAAAAAAAAAAAAAAAAAAAAAAAAATCAACATTAAAATCAGTCACGTAAATAACCCCAACTACCTAGGGGGTGTGTAAAATCATATTAAAAATGGAGGATTCAGGACTGTTGGGGATAAACTGTAACGTTATGCCCCCCCCCCCTAACATTATAACAACAGAAACAAATTGAGTAGTTAATGAGCATGAGCATGATGAGTTCATCATTTGTGTCATCTGCCGGCTGCCACTACTCCTTTACCATGGCTGGGCAATTGCATTTGCAGCAATGGGGTTTATGACACAGTTTATAGTTCACGAAGACTTCGGTTGATTCAGACTCGGAGGAAAAAATGCCTGTACTATGAGTATTTGTTTACATCACATGGAATGGAGGGACAGCCTAGTTGATAGTTGAATGATTGTCATTTGGATTTTGATTCTTTTGACAGACAGAATGTGAGCATCCAACTCCTCTTTCATCTTTGAACAAAGCATCGCATCAAACACCAGCCATGGAACTGAGTACAGTGTGGACTGGCGGCCACAGTCAGATGGTGCTCTGCCTGGGTGTAGATGCTGAGGGGCGAGTCGCATCGGGAAGTGAAGGCGGTGAGGTGTGTTTTTGGAGCCCAGATGGCAAAATCACTTCAAAGAGAACGTTCCCTTCAAAGGCTGACGTCAACAGTGTGTGTTTCTCTCCTCAGCAGCCCTCGGTCATTTACGTTTCAGCTGGGGAGGTCATAGAGCTGTTGGACGTTCGATGTCCGGAATCCAGTCTGGAGAGGTTTGCCTTCAACCGCGAGGATATTAATCAACTTGCAATCGATCCCAAAGACGGGTTCCTGGCAGCCTGCGACGACGACGGGATAATAAAGGTGGTGGACCTGCGCAACCGCAAGCTCTTCAGGACGCTGAAGGGCCACAGCGCCATATGCTCCAGCGTGAGGTTCCACCCGACCGTGCCGCGGGAAATCGCCTCAGGCGGCCTGGACTGCCTCGTACACACCTGGGAGACGACGCGAGGGAGCCCCCGCGCGTCGGTGAACATGAAAGAGGTTGTAATCGCCGGTGAGGACGAGCACACCCCAAGTCCGTACTTGATCAACCCGCCGTTCGTGCACTCGGTGGACTTCACCCGAAGCGGGGAGCTCCTAGCGTGCGGACTGGAGAACGCCCGCGTCCAGCTGCTGGACAGGAGAGGGAGGCGAGATTTGGAAGTGGGCCAGAGCCTGGAGGCTCACACGAGCGGCGTGACCCAGGTTTCCTTCATACCCGAATACCCGGGCCAGATGCAGGACTTGCTGCTGTCCGCCGGGAACGACTGTAGAATTATGCTTTGGGATACTAACAGGCATACCATCCCCAAGGATGGTTTGAAACCGGAAGACCATACAACAGAGAACTCAGAAATTGAAAACCTTAAATCTGAAAGCGACAAACCACCAGAACAGGAAAGGGCTGAAAAAGTGTCAGATAGAGGCGACAAAGGGGCATGCTCGTCTGATGATAGCAAGACGAAACCGAGACTGTGTGTAAAGCACAAAGACAAGATCAACTGGATCGCACCATATTGTTCAGCAAGTGGTGTTAATATGGTGTTCGTGGCAGACGTATCAGAAATTATATCAGTTTATCAGTGGAAAGTTGACTGAATTGCATAACCCAAATATCTTGGGTTTTGGACATGTATACGAACGAGAGGGCATGAAAGACACATTGTTCACCATCAGACCACCGCCCCAAGTTTAGGAAAACATTAACTTTTCTCAGCCTTTATCGGACAAAACTTTCCAAAACTCCCTGCCAAGTTTTGGGTCTCGACTCTCTATTAAAATTTGAAATGAAGCTGTTTCATCTTTGCGCTAGAGACAGACGTCAAGTTCATGTAAATCAAATATGAGCTATAAGTTGGACTCGCACTAGTCAATTTCATTTACCACACGCTTCCCTTGTGCAGTACTAATAAATGAAGTGACGAACCAGTTGTTTCATGGGCCAGTTTATTTCCTTGTGCATGTTTACTATTTGTATGTTTGGAAGATTTAAGTATTCCATTTGAAGATTTTACACATTTGCAAACATCAAGAAACAAATCTATGAAACCGTCACGAAATAACTTACTTGACTGTAAGTGAATAAAAGTGTTGGGCATGCTGCGAAATCATGGTTCGTGGAGTGCTGTCATTTTCAAGAAAAGTGGATTTTTGGTATCAATTTCCAACAATGGTCATCCGACCATCTTTGGAAAAGGTGACTTTTTTTCAAATACTGCCTCCATTTTACCATAGTTACAGGTAATGTAAGTTATGAAAGGAGTGCATTTTCCCCGGTTAAATTTACTACCCGTGTCTTAGCTGAAAAATAACAATACCTGGAACTGGAAGAATGTTTAGGATTGGAAAAGACAAAATATCACGCAAAAGTACAATTTACTTATCTATCGTTTTTTTCCCATTTATTTTTTTACTAGTATGATAGATGCACTGAACAAACAAATATTAAACATTTCATACCTTTTTCATAAAGAAAACAACAGAATTATACTATAAGCTGCACCATAAAGGAATGTTTGTCAAGTTAATATTGACTGGCATATATTTACATCTAAATATTACACAATCACAAAACCATGGCATGTTTTTGTTACAAAAAAATATCAAATTGGGACATTTCCATACTTTTTTGGCCCTATTTAAACAACTTTGTAAGCATGGTATCATGCACTAAGTCTGATTTGTTCTAGTCATAAGATGGAATTTGCATCGGGGTGATGTGAATGCATTATTAGGTTTTGCCCTTCACCGCATAAAAACAATGTATACTCGGTGTGTTAAAACAAATCACTCGGGTGAGACTTGAACCCCTGACCTGCTGCTTTCAAGTGCAGACATTTTACCACTCGAACACCTAGCTAACCGGGATCGGTTGGCTGGTTTCGAATCTGATGTAGCAGCGGGTACCGCAATGAAACTACACGTACCCATAATGAACCGAGGAAAGTATCTCTCAGGATGCGTGTTCAAAACAAAAAGCATAAAATGGCAAGTCTGATCAATAAACTAATGTCCCCATCCATCTATTAATTTAAATTCGAACCAAGTTATCAAAAAACAAACAAAAGCAAGTATTATTTCAATATACTGTAGAGATGGTCCTGGTTTAAAATTACAAGTTTGTCAACGAGTTTAAATGTAATACTGAGTTCAAGTACATGCATGACGTGAAGTGAACTATATTATATACTATACAGACATGCAACTTTTCCTCGGATCAGCTGATTTCCTCTTTTTTGACCTCCAATGGGTGTCACTGAAAATAGAAAAACACTGTACAAAGTCTTGGAAATATTTGAATTTCCTCTTTTTTTGTGACTTCCCAGTTTCATGCCTGACTATAATGTAGCTCTCTATCTGAAGTGCAAGTAAATACTTTCAACTGGCAAAATTAAACAGCCTTTCAATGAGTATTAAAACAAAAACCAATAAATATTATTGCAAACCTTTTACACGCTGGGTTACTGAAAGTCATACCTAATGACATATATAATGGCTTTTTAAAATACATTTCAAGAGTTGTATATGTACATCATTTTTTTTTCATTTGTTGGTGTGTTGAGATTTCAATCATATGTTAAGGCACAAAAATCATGTTAATTTTTTTTTTCTTTTTCATACACGCAAAATCGGTTATCGCATTTCTCCAAGGAAAACTAACATTAATTTGTTTTAATGACAAAATTCTTTGATTTGTGTCCTTTTTTGCTTACAATACCTAATCATCTTTGCATAATTTCGTAACTCATTTCAAAAATACTTAAAGAGATTTTTTCAAAAGATACATACATGTAGGCACAAGAGCACACTTGATACAAAAACAATACTGATTGCCAGCTGCACAGGTTTATTCCAGCGTCTTTTGACCGAACAGAAATTTCAGTTTGCTTAGCAGCTAATCCCTCGTGTCTTTTGTACACACAGAGAAAGTGCGTGGAGGTGGACCATGTGTCGATCTTGAACTGGCCGTTGTGCACAGCCTATTGTTGTACAATTTACGCTCCAGTGCACACCCGGAGTATTGAAACATACAAGGTTTCGAAAAGAAATATCGTACAAATACCGCTGAAACGACTCTTGCGAATCTGTATTTTGTGGCGTCTGGCTGTATATCAGAAGTTGGCTGGAAAATTGTGCCTTTTTGCAAAAAATCAAAATTTTCAACAAAAATCAATCCAGCGCGAAGTGGTTAAAGTATGTTTTTCAGTACTTAAACAAAACAGGGATGTAGATGACTATTTACTCCATTGTACTTTCCATAATTCCCTTAACCCTACGGCTTTGGTAAAAAAAGGAGCGCCCTCTATTGTCAGAAGAGGTCCACACGTTACAGTTTGCTATCCAATGCGGGGGGAGACCATTGGAACGGGCATTCAAACGCAGTAGCACAACACAGTTTCAATACAGAGACTCGGTCTACCATATGAAGCAACTACAACCACGCAACTGATACAAAGCCGCGGTTTCGAAAATGCCTCTGAATTCTTCTTCGGTAGAACGCTTTGAAAAACCGTGCTGCAAATATATTGCTATCTTAATTTCACAGGGAGGTTTCTATACTGATAGCCTTTCTGCTCCTGGGCGAGATGCAAGTTAGGTCCGAGTGGTTCTTCTTCGGGCCCAGGAAGCCGTACGGGTCGGTGGGGTTGTTCTCCAGGTATTTGTCCCTGGCGACCTCCAGGAGCTTAGCCGTCTCCGCCTTGCCGGTCTCTTGCACCATGTTCATAAAGATGCCATCTTCCTTCTGGAGCAGAATGTACGGCTCGTCAAACTCGATCAAACGACCAGCGTCAAGCACCTGAAAGAGACAATTTTTTACATTAAAGCTACAGTCCATCATTTGCAGCTATCCAAAAAGTAACTGACGTAATTATTGTTGAAAAACATACTTGGTTGAAAGATAGTAAGGGAACTAAACTCCCTGTGAAATTATTCTTTCTGGCATGCTGTCATTTTAAAGAAATCAACGAAAGAAGGCCTTTCTAACGATGCATCTAATGAAGCATCGTTGGAAATTTCCGTTAGTACCCATTCATACTCCAGGGTTGAGAGAGGCAATTGTGGTAAAGTGTCTTGCCAGAGGACACAAGTACCATGTTCATCATCTGGGTTCAAACCAACATTTAAATTGCTATCAGACCATATAGTGCCCCTCAATTACTTTCCTAGAACAACATTTCGGCTTGATCAATGGCATGATTTACTTTTTTGAGTACAGAATCAATTACAAGACACAATTAAAACACCGCACTTTGACATATAAGCTACTACTTATTAGTGACTGGGCACCACAAAAGTAACTCAACCTATCAGCACCTAATAGTATGCAATGTTAGATCTTACCAAGACACGGTCGGAGTCCATGATTGTGTTGAGACGATGAGCTATGGTCAGGACCGTGCAGTGCTTGAACCGCTGTCTGATGGTCGCCTGAATCAAACGGTCAGTTCTAGAAATCAACAGACAAAAAAAAATCAAGATCAGACTTGTCCAACACGCAGACAAAGTCTGCACATGGGCTCCGTGCACAAGTACCCCATCAACGGCCAGAAAAGGAGAGTTGGGGGTGACCTAGACTGGTTCCCGATCTATCCACTGCGTATTTCGAATGATCCAAAGTTACTGGGGCGGGGATTAGTCTGCGAGACCATCGCAAGTTGAATTGGAACGTATTGGTGCACCGACAATGCCTGACGCTCACGCGAAGACACAGCGCCAACCAGTACAGTACAGTATGCTGTGTGTCCCGTCCACAGAGCTCTCAAAAGAGGTCAAAACGTACCCTCTTTTGTTGGCGCACGGAGCCCATAGGAATGAAAACTTAACTTTCTAGAATCAACTACATGCTCACCTGATGTCCACGTTGGCTGTGGCTTCGTCCACTATGAGGATCTTGTTCTTGCGTAGGATAGCCCTAGCCAGGCACAGTAGCTGCCTCTGACCCACGCTGAAATTGGTGCCTCCCTCTGTCAAGATGGCCTCCAACTTATCTGGTAACTCCTCGACCACTGGCTTCAACTCCACCTTAAAATAAGTGAAGACCAAAAAAAATTCCTAAATTATTGTAATACAATTATAACTAAACAATGGCATTTGCTCCTTATTGATGTAATTTCAATAAGCACTGTATACGCTGTACTATCCAAGGGCTTACAAGAACAATTCATAACTTTACTCAGGTAGAACTCGAACCTAGGACCATACAAAATGAACATTACATGGCTCTTTTAATCTCCCTGAAGCAATACTCCATCCATGGGTTTGTAGCTCTATGCCCCATCTAATGCTTTCGCCAACAAATATGATGTTCAAGAAAGACTCCCACAATTTTCAATCTTTTGATTCATTTAGAGATGTGAGGACTTTTATTGTACATGTTTACCTCTTCTAGAGCCCTCCATATGTCGGGGTCTTCGTGGTTTTCAAAAGGATCCAGGTTCCTGCGTAGCGTCCCGCTGAACAAAACTGGGTCCTGATATGATCATAAACGAAAAATCAAAACCAGAACTCAATTTCATTAAATTTGTACACATCCCATTTTACTCTGGTTCTGATACCAAAAGATTCCGACAAAATGCTGAGCAAGTGTGACATCACCTCCTCACCAGGTCAAGCTTACTTTCTCGGCAACGGTTCGCGTGCATTCCGTAACGACAAATTTCATGTAAGTTTTAATAATACACGCGATCACAGACAGCGATTTTACATCCTGGGTTTTTCTGGGTGTCAAATGGTTTTATTAACACTAACTCCCTAGAGTGATTTACTAGGAACCTTCCCCATCCTTGCAAATCCCAACACCATATGGTAAACTGTACACATAAACAGTTGGACTCTGTTTATTTGTGGTATGCCTAATCCCACGTAAAGCATGATCAGTTTACTAGTGCAGTACTCATCCTAACAGATCCCAACAAACACTGGTGTTGGAGTTTGGCTGGTTGGGGATTGTTAGGGTTGAACCAACTAAGTACCTGTCAAACTTTTTATCATTCCTGAAAATGTTGAGCTCATCGAATCAGGTTTGCATTTAGGAAACCCAATGGCAGGCGTAATGCCCATTTCCAATTTGGGCTCTGTGCCTTGGCAGGGCTTTGCCGCGTCATGGTCTACTTTTGAAATTATATGGTTACCTCACGTATGATCTATTAAGAGGCATCAGGTGATTGTCAGGACTGGGAACCAGACTGACAAGAGATTTTCAGGTCAGGGAACCAGACTAGAATCCATTTAGGACACCGTAGCTGCGTATTCATTACCTGTGGGATGAATGAGACTTTCTTGCGGAGGTCGTGCAGTCCTATCAGGGCTGTGTCGATACCGTCTATCATGATGGTACCTGTGGGTTCAGCCAGTCTCATTAAGACTGTCATTAGGGAGCTCTTACCGGCCCCCGTCCTGCCCACAATGCCCACCTGAAACGCAAAGAATGATAGTGCTTCAACAATAGGCATATCAGATCGTTTACATTTATCCCAAAAGTAACCTGGCAAATAATTATCAAAAAGCTTACTTGTGATCAATGATTGGTTTGGTTCTGAACAACCCTCGAAATGTTCCCGTCAGGTTTGCTGTCATTCTATGGAATATCCCCGTGCACGGCAAAGATCAATGATATGTGAGCAGATTCGCCGGTTAATTATGCAAAACCAGACTGTATCTTGACCTCAAGATTCTGATCATTCAGTGGGCACCTTCTATATCGGGTCTTCGGTAACCAGTAGTTGTATTACAAAAACATGGCATCTAAATTGACCAATCAACAGCTTAGTCCACATTGCTGATCGAACAACGTCACAGTTTGTAAAGTCGACTCCGATTGGCTGGCGCCGGGTTGCATAAAATGTGCATGTTAGGATATATCAGACATTTGACCGTGGCTCTGCACACGTGAATGTCTGATCTGTAGACTAGCTGTCATGTAGAAAACATCAAGTAATGTTTCCAATGATCAGTCAATTGACTGATCACTTATTTGGGTCCATGTGCCTTTATTAAAGTATGAATACTGTCTACTAAAGTGGTTTATTAAACATTTAAAAGTTTTCTTTTAGCTGCAAATGATCCCATTGGCTTCTTGTAGTTTAGAACTGGTCATCTGAAAGAGCAGTACCTTTTCTTTTGGCCGGAAGCAGCAGTTGATCTTCTTGAGGACAAGCGGTCCGTCGTCGGTGTAACTGAGAGACATGCCCTCGAAGGTGATGAGGCCATACTTGGGCCAGTCGGGGGGCGGCTTGTAGTCCGTTTCCAAGGCCGCTTCTGATTTGATGTCCACGTACTGGCCGACCCGCTCCACTGAAGTCATCTGTGGTGACGCACCAAAGAAGGGAAAAGAAGTCAGCTTTTATAATAGTTATTCTGATTTCCTAAGGCCGAAAATCCATGTGTTCGTTTTCGACGTGGGTATTGTGTTGTGCATTTATCAGTTGCGTATCCATGATGCGTACTATGAAAATCCATATGTACGTTTTTCACTGCACACTTGATGAACGTAAAACAGGGTTCGACCTTAACTTTTTTCACTAGCCAGCCGGGCTGCTGAAACAGACTCTTAACTAGCACGCGGGCATTTTCACTAGCCCGTATGTTTTCCTTTTATAGAGTGTCTCATTAACATCAATGTACAGACATCTAAAATGTGTATCCTGAGGCAATCTTGTCAGTGTTTTTAATTAACAGATCTAGTAATTAAATCCTAAACAGTTAATAAAGTTAGACTCAAATTGATACAGGTTTGCTTTTTGAATTTAATGATTTATTTCTTCCTGTCCTTTCATCTTTGCCGTAGCCCAATTATTTTTGACTCGCCAGCCGGGCTGATTAAGGAATAGTTTGACTAGACCGCCGCTGTTTTGACTAGCATTTGGCTAGCGGGCTTCCGTTTAAGTGGAACCCTGCGTAAAAGCTCAAATAGAGAGCACGCAGCACTTTTGCAAGTAGAATGAACAAGTCTCAATTTATATTTGGATAAGGTTTGGCAAAATACACATTTCACAAAAGAAAAATTTACAAGATTTAATAAAGTACACAGGGTATGAATGAATTGAGATGACAGGACCCTAACTGACCTGGTTTTCGACTTCCGCACTCTGCCTGACACCCCACTGGAACGCCCCCATCAGGTTGATGGCATAGGTAAGGGAAAGGCCCACGATGCCCGAGTTGAGCTCAAGAACTGCAAGCAAACATTTTTATTGAATGTTAATTTTGATTATTAACCCTCCTATGCAAACATACATTCTGTGCCAAGTAGTCCTTTCAGTCAAAATCAAACAAGTGACTGTATTCAACAGTTAAGAATTCCCAGCCTACATAAAGCAGGATTGACTGGCTGGGACAGTTTAAGTCACGTATGTGATATCCCACAGGGAGTGTGCCATGACTTTTTATATAAACTTAACACGTGATCATTCTAGGCCAATGAAAATACAGTATTCGAGACAGAGATATAACAATGGCAGATATTGGAGGGCTGTGCAAGAAACATGGGCGAGTCAATTTTTTTTCAAATACTGAAGTGAATTGGAGGATAAGGTATAGCAAGGGACAATTCAATGAATTAATCGAACTAAATCAGACTCACAATTTACTGCCAAGACGCTCGTGAAGCTGACCCCACCGACAAACAGCACGCTGAACGAGTCCAGCTGCACCCCGAACCACCGCGTCGTGGCCAGGAACAGAAACCACGCCCTGGTGTGCTTGTCTTGAAACTCGTCAAACTCTTCGATGAATCGCTGCTGGGCCTTGAACGCCCGGACCGTACTCAGACCCGTCAGTGTGGCTGACAGGTGGGAGAAGACGGGACTCCGGGCTGGAGTAGACGCAAGAAAGAAAAAACAAATCTGCATAAATGTAGAACATGTCACGTTTGTTTACAAACTTGGAGGTGATGGTCACACGTGACACCAACTTTCATCAAACTGTTCTCTTTTGCTCTGTATGCAAATCACTTAAGATATGCGTGTGGAAGTACTGACGTTGAAAGTAAAAATTGACAAACAGCGAAAAACTGGCCATGCGGAAACTGACAAATTGCCTGTTTCTACTCATTTGTCATAGGTGCATTTTTTTTTTTCGTTTGAAGCAACAAAAGCGCTCAGAATCTAAAGACGGGTGTTAAACAACTAAACCTGATGAAGCAATACTGTGAATGCTGTATATTCCGAGAAAACACAATGTTCTGGATCTCGATTTGAATTCAAATTTCCCGAGTCACAACACATTCCCGAAATCAGCATTCGGTATGAATCTCATTCAGCCGATTGTTGCTACGTGATGTCACACACTGAACCAACGATTCTCGCTAATAATAGCAACCGCGCGCGTGTGTGCGTTGTTTCAATGCCCCTTGCACCCATTCACCCAATTACAAACCAACTGTCAACAGAAATTTTAAAAAAAAATGTGTCACTTGACACGTCTTTAAGAATGACCTTCCCCCCCCCCCCCCTTCAAAATGACAGCATGCCAGAAAGAATCATTTCACAGGGAGTCTAGTGCCATTATTATCTTTAACCCAAGCAAGTTTTTTACCAATAATTTGGTTGGTTACTTTTTGGATGACTACAAATGATCTACTCTACCTGTAAGTTTTGGGTTATGCTTTTCCCATCTTTTCTTTTCTCCTTAATCCTCCCCCCCAAAAAATCATGTTTAGAGGCAAAATTGAGGTATACAATGTTTACAACATATTTTATGCGGACAGAGGGTTACATATTTGCAAAAACAAACTAAAAATTGCGAACGAACTCACCCAAGATCGATTTTTGGGTCATATACCCATTTCAAATATGCATAAATTCCCTTCAAATGTGTGAAGTCATGTCAAACAGTTAACCACTCTCTCAAAATAATCCAGACCTACCGTTTGCCTCCAGCCTTTTGACGTCTCGCGACGACGCCAGGAAGTAGCGTCGGGTGAAAATGAAGACAATCACAATAGGCAGAGTGAACGTGAGACAGAGAGGATTGAAGACCGTGATCACAATCACCGTGGCAAGGGTCAGGACCATGATCTGGGCGAAAAAAGAAAACAATAATAAATACATTGGGAGAGGGAGGGTTGGCTAATCGTCCTTACTCGCAGCAGAAGCTGAACTGCGAAGGACGTGTAGCTACAACATGGTCAAGCCGAAGGCATGTAACGGTGCCTGAAGGCAAATAAGCCATTTGCGAGTAACCTATACCCTTTGGGATTTACATTTGAAAAACGTCTGGTACAATGACTTGCTCAGAATGCTTGGCACATTTTAACTGTGAATTCTCCAGACCAAAGACACTGTTGCTAATCACATGATTCGGGGCAAGCTCTTGCATAGTTACGTAAGAGACGCTCAGCACCAATACATCGTTCACAATGGGTGAGAATGGCACAAAGACAGCAGACCATGCCGGAGCTGGGGGTTGCTAGCATAAGGCTTGCCCCGAATCACGTGATATAGTAACAGTCTCTTTGGTCGGGAGAATGCTAGGTTAAAACGTGCAAAGCATTGTATTAAGTCAGCGTTCCAGATTTTATTCAAATTTAACACGCAAATGGCTTATTGACAGAGTTGCTTTTTGCGGTGTGTGAAGGGCTCTCGACTAATAGGAATGGGTATTCTGTCTTAAGTATTTATGAGTGCAGAATGAATTTTGCCTTCTTTTTTTTTAGGCAGGCTATTTAAGGGTAGCTTTGTTTCATCTGGCTGGGCTTTTTAAAAGTGCACACCTCTGTCGACTGCAAAATTCTGGCAACTGTATTCGAAAATATTTACAGATGCTATTTGTAAAACTTGACAACTTCTAAAGTACTACTAAATTACTTCTAAATTCACAAACACTCACTTTATATCGAGGACATTATTCGGGCCAATTGTTTTCTTTTACAGCTAGGGTGCAGTAATTTTAATAGTCTTTATTTTATTCAAAACAGGAATCGGGTAAAAAAAACACGACAAAGTTCGTTTTCATACCTGCAGGAAGTCGGTAAATGTGGATGGCAAGAGTTCGTCCATGAAACCGATATCTTTGGCAAAACGATTCAGCACACGACCTACAAGAAAAAAGACGCTAATTATAATAACCCATTATGCGAACATACATTCTGTGCAAAGTTGTCCTTTCAGTCAAAATCAATCAAGTGACTGTTTTCAACAGTTAAGAGCTCCCAGCCTACATAAAGCAGGATTGACTGGCTGGGACTGTTTATGTAACTTCATATAGCTATGCTTTGGCTGTAGGTGATTGATAAGCCAGCTGTGCCTACCACTCGCCTGCTTTTGTCTGTTGACTGAATTTGACTAGTCACAGTGCTTGCTAAAAATATAATCTGACTGTTGGTGACTAGCCTGTGTAAAAGGCATGGCAGGGGAAGACGATTGATGTTTTTGACTGTCTGTGACTGTTCAAACAGCAGGAGGGTTATATCCAAATAAAATTTGTGACAATAAGTTGCTGGGTTACTTTCGGGATAAATGCAAATGATCCTCTTCAACAGGTAACTGTGCACAAGGTCCAACACGAACCATGTTCAAAAATGAAGGGTTATGGAATGAACAATTGTTTCGGAGGAGGGGAGTTTGACACCTACCGACAGGATTGTCGTCAAAGAACTTCATGGGGGCTCGGATGATGGCACTGAACATCTGGTTGTGGAGGTTTCTGGCGGCCGTGACAAAGATGTGAAAGAAGAGGAAGCTCCGGACGAAGCAGGCCACGATGGTCACGCAGCACATGATGGCGTAGGGCTGGATGAAGTAGGTGCGTTTATCGTACTGGACGAAATACTCACCATCCTGCAGTGGGATAGTGTTTTTAACAAAATTAGGAATGATGGATGCATGAAAGACGAAATACTTGTAGATAACGACAATTCTAATTATTTTCTATCTCTCTACTTCCCGTATTTTTATCTTTCTATTTTTTTTTTTGGGGGGGGGGGAGTGTGGCAGATAAATTCAAATATATAACAGAATACAAATATCAATCCAAAATATTAAATGAACTGCTGAAACATGAGTGATATATGAAGACTTTGTTTCCAAAACGCGATAAACGCCATTTCGTTACCTTTTGGAATCTCGCCTTCACCTGGATGCCCAAATCAGTTTCGACGTACAGTTAAACACAATTTAAGAATACAGTAAAGGAAAAAAGTGAAGTTTAAAAACTACTGTTATACTGCTTTTAATTTTGTAAATTTTTAAAAAGCGTTAACATGTTTCCATTTTTTTTTTTAAATGTGTATATTGCACTTTGGAAATAAACTCTTCATATGTATCGAGCAAGTGTCCAAGAAAACTGGAGTGTTGACTCAATTTCCAAGTCCTTTTTGCTGACTGGCCTTCGCTGATTTGCCAAAATCAGGCTCAAAATCTGTACTCGCATGTCAATACTTAACAATGAGTTACATTTAGTTCTCCTTTTTAACTGGGTAGATTTAGTAACCTAGTTCCCTTACAGTGTGCTAGTTAGTTACTAAACCTTACCTGGTTAGATTAGTGACTAGGTTATTTAACCGTACCTGGTTAGATTAGTGACTAGGTTATTCAACCTTACCTGGTTAGATTAGTGACTAGGTTATTCAACCTTACCTGGTTAGATTAGTGACTAGGTTATTCAACCTTACCTGGTTAGATTAGTGACTAGGTTATTCAACCTTACCTGGTTAGATTAGTGACTAGGTTATTCAACCTTACCTGGTTAGATTAGTGACTAGGTTATTCAACCTTACCTGACTGGTTAGATTCTGCGCTGCTAGGTCCTGCTCTTCGGAATAGGCCCACTGTGATAGCCACCAGTCACTCAGGGAGAAGACAGCCTGACAGAGAAAATGAACAGACACTTTTAGAGGGTGTACTGCAACAGTCAGCCACATGTAAATCACAAACAGTCACAATGAGTCACAAGTCATCACTTGTATGTCAATCACAAGACAAACACAAGTCAAACACAAGTCAATCCCAAGTTAATCACAGGTCAATCACAAGTCAAACACAAGTCAATCCCAAGTTAATCACAAGTCAATCACAAGTTAATCACAAGTCAATCACATGTCATTCACACATCAAGCACAAGTCAATCACAAGTCAAACACAAGTCAAACACAAGTCAATCACAAGTCAAACACAAGTCAAACACAAGTCAAACACAAGCCAAACACAAGTCAATCACAAGTCAATCACAAGTCAATCACAAGTCAAACACAAGTCATTCACAAGTCAATCACAAGCCAATCACAAGTCAATCACAAAAGTGGATGCAAACGCAATTTGCAAAATCTTGGAACATAATTCAACCCCAGCAAATTTCGCAGCAAATATTGCCTTTAATGTAAAATTCGCTTCGCATTCACATTCGCCTGAAGTTTAGACTGGGATTTTATAGTTTTGTCAAATAGCTTGCACGTCTAGTACCTGTGCTCCAAACACCATAAGTAACCAGAAGAGGAGGAGCAGCAGACTGGCGCCAGCCCGGAAGTATCTCAGGTAGACGCCGATACCCACGGTTCCGACGGCGGTCTCCTCCGGAACAATGTTCACTGGCGCCTCGAACTGCAAAGAAAAAGACGCATCATTCAAGAGAATCATGGAAATATAAAATAATGGGGGGACAAAAACTAATAGACAAATAACTAAGAAGTCCTACACATGGCATGCAGACACTGACCTCAAATTCAGGAACGGACACTGCAGTGGAGCACACGGAGGTTCTGGACATCATGGAGAGTTGCCGCTCCAGGGTGGGTGGTTCACCGCCCTCCCCATCGTAATCGCCTTTCTTCGATTTCTTCTTCAGCAAGGCTGCGAAATCCACGCCGTGTTTCTGCAGCTGGTGGTACGTGCCGTAGTCGGCAACTTTACCCTGAAAAGGTAGAAATAAATGTAAATAAATTTACTTAAAAAACAAAGTTTCTTTGACTTGTTCATGTATTGTGTCGCTTGTTTAACCCATTAGGCAAAGTTAAAAAAAATACAGTTGATCGTACGGTTTTTTTTTTCAAAACATAACAGCATGTTCATTACACAAACAACGAAGCTGAATATAGGTTTGTTTTGTATTGTTCAGCGCATTTGGACTTTGTGTAAAATGCCCTATAAGCACTGTTATTATTAAGTGACCCACGTTTGTTTCCACAAAATGAACATCAAGTCGGAATTTTTCAGATTTTTTTTCGGGGGGGGGGGGGGGGAGATTTTCAGAACAAGAGCTTTTTAATGGAATAAAACATTTAGGCGTACTGAGTTCAGTAACAGAAATATGGACTGACAACTAAACTCGAGTTGTAAAAGTAATTTTTGAGAAAATGGCATTAACAGACCAGTCTCCTAATAAAAACAGGGTGAAAATAGGTTTTAAACAACTCCCTAGGGGGTGCGCAAAATCATATCAAAATTGGAGGATTCAGGACTGTTAGGGCTATGAAACGAACTAATCACAGGCGCTACAAAGTAATGAAATAGGTCGACTGCATTCTGCAAGATCAAAAATAAGAATGTAATAAGACATATGACAATCAGACGGAGTGTACCTGTTTGAGGACGAGAATCTTGTCTGCTTTGTCCAGGAACTGCAGCTGATGGGTGACGAGGATTCTGGGCTTCTCACTCAGATAGCTCAGGATACACCTTTAGAGAGTGTAAGAATGAATTAATTTTCAGAAAAATAATTTTGAAAATGATTATTAAATGTGTTTCAAAACACATTTTGAAAGAAAACAGGGCTTTGCCAAATATACCGAAGAATTCAAATATTTGAACATAATCTGAATACCTGAATGTTATTTTTTTTAAATTTGAAATATGTGCACGGTCTGCAGGAGATGCTGAAAGAAGTCCACGATGTTCTTATAATCGTTGAGGCTGCATGGTTTTGTAGAGAGCCACTTTTGCACATAATTTCATAGCTTCCACGAGAAAAATTAACTCAAACTTCTTTAAAATCGGTCAGACATCAGCCCTTCTGCTACCTCTTCTTAACGTTATTTTATTAAGCTCTTTGACAATTTTCAACAAGTTTTGCAAAAACATGTTTCTTTCGAAATTGCAGACTCAAAATAAATAAGTCCAAGTATATATTAGGATTCAAGTTTCAAGAGGAGAATCCTGTCAGTTCACTGACCAAATCAATTTGTAATTCAAAATTCACCTGTCGAATAGGTGTCTCCCGACTGCCGGGTCTACCGCGCTCAGAGGGTCATCCAGTAGATACACGTCAGCGTCGCTGTACACGGCCCTGGCCAGGCTGACCCTTGCCCTCTGACCTCCGCTAAGGGTCACGCCGCGCTCACCGACCAGCGTCAGGTCGCCGTCCGGTAACAGTGCAATATCCTATGGGATTACAGAAAAGGAATGAGACAAATAAACAGACACATACATGTATATACAGGATTGCCCCATGATATCTGTCACACAAAATGACAATTTGGCCGGTAAACCTGTTTTTCATTCGAAATCCTGGGTTTCAAGTTTCGTTTCTTTGGCCCCATGATATTCAGTCCCTGGTTTACACGTACTCTGCTGAGCGCACACTGTCGGATGACTCGCTGGTACTTTGCCGGCTCGTGAGGCAGCCCAAACAGAATGTTGTCCTTCAGCGTGCCGGACAGGATCCAGGGCTGCTGGGCCGTGTAGCCGACCCGGCCGCTCACGACGTTGACTCCTGATACGGTGGGTAGCTCGCCCAGCAGGGCCATCAGAAGGGAAGACTGGGAGATTAAAAAAACACAAAATGGAAACAATTGGAGTAATAACAGAGTAAAACACAAGTCAATTCCTAGTCAATCACAAGTCAATCACAAGTCAATCACAAGTCATCATTCACAGGCTAATCCCAAGTCAGTCTCAAGTCAATCCCAAGTCAATCCCAAGTCAATCCCAAGTCAATCCCTAGTCAAACACAAGTCAATCCCAAGTCAATCACAAGTCAATCACAGCCTAATCACAAGTCAATCACAGGCCAATCACAATTCAATCACAGACCAATCGCAGGCCAATCACAAGTCAATCACAGGCCAATCATAAGTCGATCACAGACCAGTCACAAGTCAATCACAGGCCAATCACAAGTCAATCACAGACCAATCACAAGTCAATCACAGTCCAATCACAAGTCAATCACAGGCCAATCACAAGTCAATCACAGGCCAATCACAAGTCAATCACAGGCCAATCACAAGTCAATCACAAGTCAATCACAAGTCAATCACAAGTCAATCACAAGTCAATCACAAGTCTATAACACGTCAATCACAAATCAATCACAAGTCAATCACATGTCACTCACATGTCACTCCCAAGTCAATCACAAGTCAATCACAAGTCAATCACAAGTCAATCACAAGTCCAAAACAACAAATGAATCATTACCTTGCCGCACCCAACAGGTCCTATGACGGCCAGCAACTCTCCCGGTTCTACGTGGATACTGATGCCATCTAGAACAGCGTTACTTAGATCCTTGGGTTGAATGTGGGAAAAAGTAGGGCTGAGACATGATGTATAAAACTCAATTTGTTTGGCATTTTAATTTTAAAGTGTTACTATTTACCTTGTAAGCACCACAACATGTACAAGTGAATGCACATATTTATAGTCACTATTCTGTTTATCGCAAGTGAAAATGGTGGATTCAGTTGTTGACTTTTCAATGTTTGAAAAAGCGTATTGAAATCTTTAGAATGTAAACCAACAAACTCCAGCTCTGTTCCAAGTTTACCACAATCTGCTTTGACTAAATTAAGACAAAATCTGCTGTAACTAATTTTCACTAAGATTTCTGAACTTAATTTCAGCAGGGCATACAAAAAGTTAAACACATGGGACGTTATGTTATTATTAACATGTGTTTCTGCATCTTTTTTTACACTATAAGTGTTCAAAAGCCTACAAGTTTTTCGTCAAAAACTGTTGCTTTGTCCATAGAGGTAGCATACAGACACATTTTTTTCACAGTATTAAAGGAATACACAACATTTGCTTTTCCTGTAATTTTCAGAAATGAATGGATTTGGGGAGGTTAGTATTTTATAGCAAATATAGTTACTTTGACTTGTGTAAAGTTTTATGTTCGTAGATGCTGGAAAAACCAAGAAAAACAATCATGTTCCTGTAGTCTGGATCCCTGGGGAATTGTAACGTCGGAGAATTGTAAGGTCAGGCAACCAGTCTGGCTGGCTTGTACCCGTTCATACATGCAGGTGTGATCGATTGCAAACAAAATGCGCACTCACTAAATATGGTAAATTTGGGACAGTATTTGAAAAAAGCCATTTTTTTTTCCAACGCTGGTTGGCCGACCAGCGTTGGAAATTGATACAGAAATACCACTTCTCGTGAAAATGACAGCACACCCTTAAGGTATTTCATAACAATTTGGTAGTTTTTTTTTATGTTTGCATATGTTGTATATTCCCTTAAAGAGGGTTCATGATACCTTTGTCCACGAGCCGGTTAACTTATCCACCCTGATCCCCGGCCGATGGGCTTTCTCAGCTGCATTGGAGAGGGTTCTAGTCTCGTCGGTGTGGTTCAGTAGAGCCATGCTGTGTGTGGGTGATTCCACTGCGTCACTGACGATGCTGTTCTGTTTTCGATGGTCGTCGCTGTTCTGTTGCTGATGGTCGTCGCTGTTCTGTTGCTGATGGTCGTAGCTGTTCTGTTGCTGATGGTCGTCGCTGTCATGTTGATGCGGGGCGTCGCTGTCCTGTTGCTGATCAGCATCGCTGCTCGGCGAAGAGGTTTCATCTGCTGTCGTGACTTGGACCTCGTTGAGGTAGACTGCATTGGTGCCTCTGTATGCCACGCTGGGGGCAGCGGCATCGCTGGGCTGGGAGGCTTCAACGTTTAGCTCGTCCATCAGAAGGAAATTCTGAAAATGGCAGAGTGTAAAAGAGAACATTATAAGCCGTGGAATGCCGTGGCCTTGTGGTCTGGATCATTGAATTCCTGGTCTGCGGTACTTCTGCAGGTTGTGGGTTTCTTTACAGAGAGACAACGTTTTTCACAAGGGGCACCTAAGTTCAGGCACAAAAAGCCACACAGTTGCCCAAGCCATGAATTTGGGTTACTTTGGGTCGGTTCAGTTTCCGTTTGGTTTTTGCTTGAATTTTTGTTGGGTCTGGTCAAATTATGGGAGTTACAATCGGTTTCAATTTGGATTTGGTTTATATCTTCAATGCTTTGGGTCAGCTTGGCCTGGTCAACCCGACCCAATGCACAACATAACTGAACATCCATGTACATGTACATCATTCACCATATGAAAATGCAAAACGTCGAAGTACATGTGCAGGCAGATACAATTGCTATCCTGAATCTGAGATATTTTCCTGTTACCTTGATTCTGCGGATGGACACCAGGCCTTCGGTGCCGTTCATGATGGCGTACGGCACAAAGAGCGCAGAGCAGAGCCTGGCCGTGTAGAACAGCGGAATGACGGCGTACACCTTGGACGGGATCACGGGGTTGCCCAGAGCGGCGTAGACCACGAAGGTACAAAAGGTGATGAGAAGAGGCGCCACGAAGAAAAAGGCGAGGGTGAAGGAACGCAGGTAGGCAGCATGCATGATCTTGCGGATTTCCTTTCTGTAAAAAAAAAGAAGAAGAAGAAATGAACATAAGGACTCCATCAAAATGAGGCCTACAGTTCAATATGAGCACTATGGACTCCATGCCTGAACAGAAGATTCGAGATTCAAGAATTATTTATTGTCTTGCTTAAAATTTACATGAAAATTGATTTCCCGGTGTATAGATACAATACATTGAAATTACACAAAAATTAAATATATACCTTAAATGACATCACAGTTTTGGACATGAATATAGAAATTCACATTACCACAAAAAAAAACCACCAAAACTCCCTTGAAATTGCAAGTTCAAGATGAAAATAAAGTTCAATGGTGCATATACGTGCATCTCATGGATTGCTTTAACGCTAACCTTCCCAAATCCTCCAAAATCCTCTTTGCAAAAATGGATGGGATTGAGGCTACATGGGCAAAGTGTGTTGCTGATTTCGGAGGATGCACTGTGCCAAGGTGTTGGGCCGGACCTTGTGTTGTTGGTGCTCAGCAGTGCATGCGTAAAGGCCTAGATTATACTTGAAATCCTCCACACTGCTCCAGGATGTCACTGGCTCTGCCTCAACATATTGACAGTGATTGCTGGAGGATTTTGCAGGATTGAGGCAGCGGTCACCCCTCCAAGGACCACACTCCAGAAGTAACGGATGATTGTGGTGGATTGCGGCTGTGTGCAATTTTTACATGGAGGCAGTTGGAGGATTTTGCAGGATTGAGGTTACATCCTTAATGCCTAGGGAGTTAGGGTTAAGATTCTATCACATGGGCCCTTAAGGAATTTCTCAAATATTTCCACAAAAATGTCACTTAGATTTCAGAGTTTGAAAAAAATAACTGACAAACTCAGTAAGCTTCAGGTTATTGACTGACCTTCTGGCTTCCGAGACTAACTTGGCAAAGGACTTTTCCCAGGCGTAGATCTTGATGACGCGCATTCCGGATATAACTTCATTCATGATGCGGATCCGGGCATCCGACAGCAAGGCCGTTTTGGATCTGGAAAGACAAATCACCACAAAAAGTGACCACGTGAACATCAGAATTATTACTGATCTTGTGCTTCTCCGCGTTGGAACAACTCGACTCAAGCTGCGTCTCGCAGCCTCAGAGCTCGAGCATCTTTCGTAGGATTCTTGCAGTTCCAAGAAAAGCCGCCTTCTGCGGCAATTCCACCTTCACGGTCGTGCCGATCTCATCCAGATGTTTCTCCAGGGACTAGGTTATTATGATTATTACCTGAATCTGGAGAAGAGTTTACCCATGTAGCCCTGCAGTGGAGCCAGCAGGATCAAGATGGGCATGCCTGCTAAGCAGGACACGCCGATCTCACGCCAGATCAGAGCCGTCACTAAGATTAGCTGGATAGGGGCTATCCAGAGATAATGCAAGAACATGAAGGCCTACGGAAAAGAGAAAAAGAAAGATCAGACTTCGTTCATAATCTACGCGAATGTGAACACGAATGCAAATGCAAATTAGTGGCATGACAGCAAATTTTTGTGCTGCGAATTTGTAAAGGTTGAACGTATTTTAACCACTTCGCGCCGGGATAATTTTTGCCGAAAATTAAGATTTTCTCAAAAAGGCACAATTTTCCAGGCAACTTGTGATATAACTCCGGCCAAGTCGACATCATACAAAAATCGCCAAATCGCACAGGTCGGCTGTCAGACTAAAGTCCCAATTGTCTTTAATGCATTTCCATTAAGTCCGCTTTTATGTAAGTCGCTATCTCGCTTTAGTCATTTTTGCCACTCACTACATTTTTGCCATGTAGCCTCAATCCTGCAAAAAAATCCTACATTTTGCAAAGAGGATTTTGGAAGGTACATGTACTTACCAAGTCAAATCTGTTGACGTCGTTGGATAGAATGTTAACCAGCTGTCCGACTGTCGTTTCTCCAAGAGCGAGGTTGCTGAGCCTCAATGCCTGAAAGTTACGTACATATATTATGCTCAGAGGTACAGTGTACACACGTTTGTACGTGTTCTACATAACCCCCGAGGACCAACACACAAAGGGAGAACAACAGATCATTTCAGTCCTCGGGAGTTGGGTCTTTTGTTGGAAACGGTCCTCTGTAGTAGGTTTGTGTGCTTAGTCTATGGGAGAATGCTATATTACAGGGACAAAGGGAAACACAAAGCATTGTCCTCAAGAGTATAGTAAAACAAGAGTGTCTGCCCTTTTTGTGTTTGAAGCAACCAAACTGCTGAAAGTGTTAGAGCCTCAAAGCATCTTGTGAATTACAGGTGTAGGAAAACTAACCCGGTGTAAGGTTAGCTCAAATGCTAAAATACATTATGAGAAAACGGGACAAATAAAACATGTGCAAAGTTTTTGGGTCCCGTAACCGGATTCGGTTGCTAACACAGTAAAGTCAAGTGTGTCACGAGCCAATACGGTGTCATATGAAAACTTGTATGAAAATCGGACTCTTTTTCCCTTTTATTGGTTAAACCCTCTCATGTGACCGGTCCCTCTCCTAATTAGGAGAGCATGAGCATGCACAATATCACCAATGAGTCCGTATTTCATAAAACCTAAATTCATGCTACAACGGCCCAGTTTTCCAGTTTTATCGCCAGTTTTCTTGGCATGACACAACTTAGAATATCTCTATTCCCCCCTGGATTGAACGCCAGTCCATCGTAGGTTACTCCCAAACTAATGCTGGTACCCAATTATACTCCTGCATGTAGAGAGGCAAATGGAGGTGAAGTGTTTTTGTTGTGGGGAGGACACCTAGGACAGCACCGGGAGTCTGTGAGGGGCATGTGCCCCCCTCCCCCCCCCCCCCCCCCCCCGACCTCAAGATCCAAAATGTGTGATACTGATTGATGAATAAACACTTGAAATCTCTATGTGTGCACAATGGTTAGCATCCAGGTATTGAGAAAAAGCACTTACAGTTAACACAATGTTATGCTATTCCTAAAGCTAGCACCAGGCATCCTACGTTTTATTTTCTTCCTCTTTTACCTTTCTGTAGATGAGGCCCGAGCAGGCCACCCTGACTCTCATGCCGTAGCGCGCCACGCCAAAGAAGGTGACATGGTGGCACATGACGGTCAGCAAGGAGCAGACCGTGATCCCTGCCGCGTAGAGGTAGGCATCGCGGATCGACACAAGGTCCGTGGAGAAGTACAGGACCAGCTGGCTCAGCATCAGGGGCTGAACCACTTTGAAGACGGACTCCTGTAACCATGGCAACACAGCAAAGGCAAAGCAAATTTTTTACAACCGTCATTTGCTTTGGACCTACATTGTAATCAACAGTTTAACAAAACCTTCGATAACAGAGAAAAAAATCCTCATAATGGCAATATGTCACCCACGAACTACTACATGAAATGTTAAAATACTAAATGATTAACTGATGACATGTATGCTACTAAACACAAATTTGGTAATGAATGCGGCAGTGAACAGGTTGAAGGTGTACTATTTTTCATTTTTTTTGTTCCAGGAAAATAATAATTGTTTTTTCAAATTGCTGTTTCTAGCCAAACAATAGTTTTCAGTTTTCAAAATGTGGACTAACTACCATTGGTGAATTGGGGGCAGTGTTTAAAAATAAAAGTCACTTTTTTCCCAACGATGGTTGGCCGACCATTGTTGGCAATTGATACCAAAATTCCAATCTTCTTCAAACTGACAGCCCACCAGGTGCCATGATTTCACACATTTTCACAAATTTCACATTTACGTACACTCAAGTTAATACGTTTCATAATAATTCAGTACATGTAGCTTTGTTTTTTTGATTTTTGCAAATCTTGTATATATATTACCTTTAAATGCACTTGCAGTAAAATTTTGATAAGACAAACATGGCATATGGTTGATTTATGTCCCATATCAGACTATACATAGTGTCCTACCCTCCCAGCATCACGCAATGATATTTATATTTATCATTTACATGCATGCCTTCAAGTTTACAAGACCAATCTGTCTGACGGTATATTTTATCACCTTCCATGATGACCATATGGTTTTATGATATTTTTCCCAGTTCCTTGTTTTGAAACACGCTGTGCATTGCGCAACACATATAAAGCGAACACGGATGCAACTTGGAGTACTGTCATGAGTCATGACTCATGACTGTACATAATGTGGAAACATTATAAACCATTGGAAACGAACTTCAATGTTTGCACTTCCCTGCAAGAAAACAGGTGTCCCAAAATGGCAATTTGACCCCACCAATGTGTGTGGATATTCTTTTTGAGTGGTCGGGCACAACCCGATATGGTTATGGGCGAATTACAGCAACCGCACGCACGTGTGCGTCGTGTCAATGCTTGCGCGCACTTAGCCGAATTAAAAACGAACTACTGCCAGAAAGAATAATTTCACAGGGAGTTTAGTGCCATTACTATCTTTAAATCAAATAAGCTTTTCAACAATAATTACGTCAGTTACTTTTTGGATCGCTGCAAATGATGGCCTGTACCTTTAAGTAAGGGCAAATAATTCACATATTTTTATGAATTGTTCTCTATGCGTATGGATGTCATTTTTACAGCTCCGGTTCAAAAAAATAAATACCTCTAAGAAAGCAGGGATGCCCAAAAGCATGTAGCCCCATCCAAACGTTCGCAGCAGGGCCCGACGTAACGACGGTGGTTTGCCAGTTTTCTTGCTTTTGTCGATCTGTTTATCCCACTCACTGCGGAAGAAAGTATTTTTATGTTAATTAATTTCATTTATGATCAATTCAACCAATTTCACTGATTAAAAAAAAAAAATTGTTGGGAGTGGGACCTAGTGGTTAGTGTTTGCTACTCATTATTAGAGGGTCAGGGTTCAAATCCAATTGCTGGCCATAAACTGTCCAAAAAAAAAAATCACATTTATTTCCTCTTCATGACAGAAATGAAAAAAATACTCTTTAAGTATTGATACAAAATATAAAGGCCACTAGAGGTGGCAAAACCTTAAAAGCATAGCTTGTAGCAGGTATGCCATTACACAAAACAGACGAATAATAACAGAAGAAAAACAATTACACACATGTATAATTCTAAGCAGTAAATAAAGTTATGAAAAAGTTATGAAAAATAATATTAATAAATATTAAACTGTGCCCTTGGGCACGCCCCTGGTACTTTCCAGGAGTATAAACAGGTACCAGCAAATGGACTGGTATACCTGGGAGAGGCATATTTTCCATAAATGCATGAATATTCTGCTCTTTCATAATAATTAAACAAGGAAAACAGTGTTAAAGCATATGGCCTGATGAACCATGCGAGTAATTTCTAAAACAGCAACTACGTTTCGGTTCACTTATTTCTGCATTATAAATAAATGTATGCAATTTTTTCAGTTCGGAGGACTGAAAAAATTAGAGGCTCAACCTGGGTAGAAAAATCAAAGTCTGCAACTGATTCATGTACACACAGGTGCAGTGTGAATGGTACGCCTTGCTGATCCATCTTTGTTTGGGCAAGGGCCAATTTCACAGCGCTGCTAAGCACACAAATTTGCTTCGCACCAAAAAAGTCCGGCTTATAAAAGCAGGTTTTCAGCCAAAACTCCATGTTTATTGCTTATTTTTCACAAGGCTTATTTTTCACAAGGCTTCAGATAAGCCATGAATATTCATGGTTTTACTCGCAAAAATACCTTTGCAGTTTCTCAACCAGAACATTGGTAGAATCCTCCGGCAGTATGTCATACAAGTCATCTTCAACCAGTGGTCTTTTGTAGCCGACGCGAAAGAACCCATACATCCAGCTTGAGTACGTATTGAAGAAAAAAATACAACAGGCAAGTTAAAAACAAAGTATTGTGTTAAACACAAAGTAAAAGCAAACGGGAGATTTGTTTTGATGATATTCTGTCAATTTTCGATATTTTGATATCATTCCTCAATATTGAAAATTTTGATATTTCGATAGGATTTAAGAATTGCTAATGGCAACATCAATATCAAAATAATATCAAATAATCAAGTCCAACTATTTGTACACACTTCTACCAGTTATCCATGCACAATAGCCAAGGTCCATTTTTGTTTGTTTACATTTTTTCACCCATACAATTTCTTTATCGTCCATTTGCATTATACATGCACACTACAGTATATGTACATGTACCATGTACGTGTATGCTGTAAGTTGTACTGGTGCAATCTCTTTCACAAAACCCTTTAACTGCTATCACAGGTTCAACATACATGTAGCTTGAAAATCTTTTTAAAAATGTACAAAAAACAGGAAGTTAGATCTTGCACAATTCCTTCCTCGGTGAATGTGCCATGGGGTTAGAATCATTGTATCCAGTTCCACGAACTTCCTGCATCAATGTATTTTATTATCATCATCTTTTTTTCAATCCAACGTTTACTGTGCATAATAGGATTTGTGTATCATGTACGAGTACTGTACAACACAGTTTTTTTCTTCGAATGCAACAATAGGCACATACAGTGTGTACAAGGTAGGGTAGATCAAACAACAGTGCTCATTTTAGCTCTGTGAATGTTGTATATTCCGAGAAACAATATTCTAGGATCTTGGTTTCATTTCAAAAGTTGCCTCTAGTCATGTTTTGAATTGCGCCCGAAATCAGTGTCCGGGACACATTCTCATTCAGCCGATTGCAGCTGCGCGATGTCACGCACTGAACCGACAAATAATACTTAATAGCAACCGCTTGAGCATGTGCGTTGTGTCAACCTTTCCATGCACCCGTTCACAGATTCGCCGAATTCCTAACCAACAACTAATGGAAATTTCCAAAAATGTGTCACTTGACGCATCTTTGGAAATGGCCTTCTTAATTATTGTTTTCTTCAAAATGACAGCATGTATTGTAAGAAACAATAATTTCACAGGGAGTTTAGTGCCATTAGTGTTACTATCAAGTTTCAGATTACACCAAGTAAGCGTTTCAACAATAATTTCTTTTGTCACTTTTTGGATGGCTGCATATGATCTACGGAAAAAATGTTGCAACCTGACGCCAATTTTTTCTTCATATCATCTCAATGAAGGTCAGTCATTGCAAAAATGGTGATACATGTAAGACATGAAACTTGTTGGAGTGGGACCGAGAAACATTTCCAAGTTTGTTAGGAAATACTTTAAAAATGTTCTTGACTCTCCATAGACTTTGTACACAACCGCTGAAGTGGCGTCGGGTTGCAACATTTTGTCCACCGATTTACCATTTTATTATTAATTTTAAAAAATGTACATCCAATGTTTTCATAAAATTTCACATGTTTCAAGAGTCTCGTTAGACTTTGACCACACCAGTAATTCAGTATATGAACAGAGTCATGTGCAATTTTTCCCAACATTAACTCTAAACATGCTAAACACAGTCAGTAGTAGCCTAATTAGCCCGACTGCGTCTGGCCGTACAGTACTATCGCAAGCTCTGTAGTACGGCCAGACGCCCGATGCTTCCAAAAAGACTGAATTTTGTTGGCCGCCGATGTAGCGATTTTGCTACATCTTTTGATCGCGATTATCTTTTCATCCAGGACACAACTTTCCAAAGTTAAGGTTTGCAGTCGTAGAACAACTCATACCTTTTCGAAAAAACGTTCTTTGGTCTCAATATTTTCATTCATCTGGCCACAAGACGAATTTCAGTCATCAGATTCCACAAATATCGTCCCCCATGCGATCCCCCATGCGATTTCAAAATGGCGGCCGCGCTGTAATGTATGCAATATGCAGGTGCGCCCGCGCAAATCATGAATATGCATAAACAGTCTGTGACGTATGACCTCGTGTTTTTGGACGTGCGTGCGGCCCCGTGCGGGGCCATACGTCACGAGGTCATACGTCACAGACTGTTTATGCATATTCATGATTTGCGCGGGCGCGCCTGCATATTGCATACATTACAGCGCGGCCGCCATTTTGAAATCGCACGGGGGATCGCATGGGGGACGATATTTGTGGAATCTGACGACTGAAATTCGTCTTGTGGCCAGATGAATGAAAATATTGAGACCAAAGAACGTTTTTTCGAAAAGGTATGAGTTGTTCTACGACTACAAACCTTAACTTTGGAAAGTTGTGTCCTGGATGAAAAGATAATCGCGATCAAAAGATGTAGCAAAATCGCTACATCGGCGGCCAACAAAATTCAGTCTTTTTGGAAGCATCGGGCGTCTGGCCGTACTACAGAGCTTGCGATAGTACTGTACGGCCAGACGCAGTCGGGCTATAGCCTAATATAATATTCCGGCTTATGTTCTTACCAAAAAAATATTTTCGAGACGAAATTAGCCTTCCTAAGTGGATGTGTGCGTGGGGAGTATTTCAGATCCGGCGGTATGGTCTCCTGTTTTTCACCGTCACCGCTGACTGAGCGGGCGCGCTTTCCCCGGTGTCATCACCCGTGATTTCACGCTCGTCGTCCGCCATGTGTGGAGCGATGTCGCAGTCCGCGTCGTCCTCATCGTGTTTAACTGGAACGCGAGTGGACTCTTTTCTTATCTGCTTCAAGCTTTTCTTTTGTGCCATTTTTGTCGTTGGACGTTGGCCTTGGGGTGTTTACATGATCTGCAGTGTTGACAAATAGAGAGATAAAGCGCAATCGCTAAAGACGGCACGGTTTATTTGTGCGACTATTGTTGACCAATGATGAACTGAATGTGAATGCCGTGCTATGCTGCGCCAGTACAGTGTACAATGTACACATACGTGTACACAGTCAACGGGCCGGGGACGGCGAGTGTTTTGTACATGTGCGTGTGTACGTACGTTGTATAATGACTCGACACATTTTGTGCGCTTGGCACGTGCGCGCATAGGTTGTACTAGTTCCCCAGACCAGGCAAGTGACGCAATCGCGCCGCAACATTGCCAAAATAATGTTTTTAAGAAAAAAAAAGTAAAAAAGAAGAAGAAGAAAAAAAACCCCAAAAACAATGTTCCAATGGATAACATTGCATAATTTTTTATATAGTAGCGAATAGGTGGTATGGAAAAATAAATCGCTATCGGGGGAGGGGGTCAGTTTCAAATTAAATCACAGTGAATTCATAGAAGGTTTTAAATTATAGATCATACACTTAGTGAAAACTGTAAACGTGCGAATCAATTTAGTCAGGTAAGGGTGCCTATAATTGCATACATCGTAAATAACTGCCGTGTAATATTAGTTCCCATAATTTATTTAGGTATATTTTTGATTTTTGATTTTTTGATTTTTCATGTATATTTTGGTGATTCTAATTACAACTCCTTACTTCAATAACATTTTCTAGAGCATATAAGTGACTGAATAATAATTATGAGGACAAAGTAACGATCCACAAATTATACCCTAAAGTTGCGCGCATTGTCTTGAACAGCTGCATGCAGCAGATGCTTTATATAATTATACAGCTTGTTTTCACTTTAAGTGTATGATCTATAAATAAGCTTGTCTCGCTCGTCAGTCGGCAGGGATGAAGAGCGCCACCTACTGCCAAAGAGTGTCTATGAGTGTCCGCTTTCAACAGTGCCCCTATGGTAGCAGACCAGTAAATAAACTGCTATTAGACCCCAATGGTAAATGCTCCCTCTTCAACAATTCGGGGAAAATACTCACAACTCTCCAAGGTGTTCGAGACACACATCAAATTAAAGTTTATTTCATCATCTTTCATTTTCTTTTCAATTTTCGGGGGTCAACTGATGACTTATAGGAGAAATTTCCATCTGAAGATGATCACCCCTGAAAATAGTCCTGAAGCCCATCGCCATTTTGAAAAACGATGCCTACACTCCATTGCAAAATAGAGCGCTTTTAGGGTCCAAATTAGTGATTACATCCAAATTACACAGAACTGCAAGCTCACAGTCCTGTGCACGGCTTCCACCCATATTTTTTCCAAACCCTCAAGTTCATGGCCCACAGCATGCTCAAATACTGAAGAATTTGAGGGCATTCAAATCCTGATTCCCCACTGGTCAGACACATACGAAAAATAAATAAATTTTAATGGCCTCAGAATTTTTTTTTTTTTTTTTTAAATACTTGACATCGACATGAGCTGATTTTTTGGGTTCAATTATTTAATTTGGATTTTCGAATTAAGAGCGGGATGCTTGGATTCTTATTCGTTTTGAATAGTGTGCGCAATTTCAGAACTGGAGCGCGCAATTTAAAACCAACTTTTCAAACTGTGTATAAAGGCCTGCAAACTAGCTGGATATTTTTGTTCCAACTTTCCCGATATCTTTGGCGCCTATTTTACCCAGTAGCGCACCCAGGATTTAGATTAAGGGGGGGGGGGGGTGCTCACAATTTTGGTGTTTTTTGTGGGAGGGGGAAATATGTTGACGTTGGTGGCGCCACTTACACCCCTAATATAATACTCGAAAATATGCCACATACATATCGGTCAATTCGTGGACCAAAAAAATGAACTCCCCCAACCCCCCCCCCCCCCAAAAAAAATATTAAAAATTAACAACCTCTACGAGTGGGAGGGGTCAACCCCCCCCCCCCCCCCCCTTGGGTGCGCCACTAATTTCATCCACTTTTGGCCAGTGGCTCAGCGGTAGAGGGGTGTTTGCAGAGTGGCAAATTGAAAACTGCTAGCTACAGATTTTAAGAGCGAGCCAGGCGGGGACGTGCGAAGAAAAATCGGGCCGGCGACATCGGCCAGTCGTAAAAAGCTTATCTCGCCAGTCGGCAGGGATGAAGAGCGCCACCTACTGCCAAAGAGTGTCTATGAGTGTCCGCTTTCAACAGTGCCCCCCTATGGTACGTAGCGGACCAGTAAATAAACTTCCATTAGACCCCAATGGTAAATACTCCCACTTCAGAAATTCGGGAAAAATACTCACAACTCTCTAAGGTGTTCGAGACACACATCAAATTAAAGCTTATTTCATCATCTTTCATTTTCTTTTCAATTTTCGGGGGGTCAACTGATGACTTTTAGGAGAAATTTCCATCTGAAGGTGATCACCCCTGAAAATAGTCCTGAAGCCCATCGCCATTGTTCAATTAACGTGACTTCAATTCGGAATGAATGTTTCGCGATTTACACTGTATTTCTTTAAATCATTTTAAAATGTATTCTTCCGCGGTTCCCGTCAATTTTCAAATTCTTGTGTCAAATATCACGGCCAATTATTGGACGAGATTTCAATCCAATGCAATATGTTGTTCTTGAGTTATCGTCTCCAAAAAGAGTGTTTTGGTTCAATCAATTTGACTATAGATTCGGAAAGAATTTTTCGCTATTAAACACTACATTTTTCTGTAAATTATATTTCACGTATTCTTCCAGGATTCCCGTCAACTTTCAAACCTATTGTTTGCTGTAGAGTATGACGAATCTTGTGACCTCATCCGGGTGGGAGGAAGTCCTCATCGTACCCAAGATCTACCCAAAGACACCAAGCATCCCATCGTGAAGACACCATCATCCCATCGTGAAGACACCAAGCATCCCAACATATCGTGATGGGTCCAGCTCACACCATAACAAGACTTGTCATCCTTGACTACGATGAGAAGTTGCTCCACTATATTGATCTGAGCGCATACTGGCAGAGATATCTGACGTAAGTTTCGGATATGCGTAGAAGAGAAGCTATCCGAAAGCATCAACGTCAGTTCTTCGAATGCCAGAACTGGAGAGCTAGAAGTTCCAAAGATGGGAGATTTGCCTCCAGCGCGCCTCCACCTCTTCAAGCCTCCCTTCTGAGGGATTGACTGCTTTGTTCCGATGACGTGCAAGATGAGCAAAGGAGCGAGAAACGTCCGGGAATCATATTTAAAATGCATGAAAAGGGCCATTAACCTTGACCTACTAGACAGCCTTGATACAGACGCTTCTTGATGGCCTTAGTTCATACGGCCTTTATCTCAAGACGGGAAGAACCATGTGAGATCATGTGTGGCTGTGGTGCCAATTTCAATAAAGGAGGCAATTCTGAGCTTCAGGATGCATATTTGCTACCAAGGATCCCACCATCTTACAGCAGGAGCTTAAGTGTACTGAGCCGGGCGTAGATATAGATAAAAAAAAAGGCTTGCATGGCTAAAGACAGATTCAAGTTCCAGGCTGTTCCAGTTATCTTCATCATTGTAATCTGTGAACAGTCAGTAATTAACGTGGCGTTAATCCATCAAAGACTTGTCACCTGTCTGCTGACCTGCCATTTCTTTCAATAGCATTAGAAAACATTGTGTTCGTATGTCAGCTGCCCAAATTGAAGAGTTGTGTCAGTACAAAAATTAAGATGATCGTTTTTTAATGATTTTGATTGTCGTGCACTTTCACAATCATAGCAACAGAGGGCGCTACAGATGTCCAACAACGGCATGCAGATGTTTCACGTTTCATTAATAATGAATTATGCCATAATGCCCGAGACGATTGATACCACGCCCACTGATTTGCAACTAAATAAATAGCTTATGAATTATGGATATTTCCTATAAAATGACGTCAAAAAACAGGAATGATTCATAAAAAAAGTTATGAATCGACCCCAGACGAACTCAGCTGATTACGCTGGTACTCGACACTTTCTGTTATGTGGCAGGAACACGGATTGGCCGCGGACCAGTGAAGAATCGTCCACCAGCAAAATTTATCCTTTGTGTCAAGATGGCGACCGGCTGTTGTGGAGTGAAACGGCAGAAAGTCTCCGCGCCTTCCGACCGAAATGACCGGTCGGACCGCTGCGAAAAGGGCGACCGTTGCTCCCATCCTAACCACGATCACCGGCCAAGCACGAGCTCCGGTTGTGGTGACCCACAGCGGGCCCTTCAACCGAAAATGAACGGTTATCATCACGCTTACTCCGGCGGTGGGCACGGCCACAACAGTCACAGTGGCCACCAAAACAATTCCAACCACCGAATAGTGTGTGCCGAGATGTGTTTTTTCTGTTTCGATGTTTTGTATCGCCACTTTCACATGTTGAATGGCGAACCGCCGAGAGTGCCCACATTTACCGATGCTCCATTGTAAGTATTTGTTTGGAAACTAAAAAACAACGAAACTAACTAGCTAGCATGACACCCCTCCCCCCCCCCCCCCCCCCCGTGAAACAAAAAAGAATGAAATGCCTACTCCTAGTTCTAGGAGTATGAAATGCCATGTCGTCTTTTTGTTTCACATGTTCAAATTATAAATGTAGGCCTACACAAAAATAAAGGTAGTGACTAGCCACGGTTTGTTTATAATCTTTCGACGTGTTCAGAGCTGCAGAGTCTCGTTCATGTCGGTTTGAACTGTTCCACTTTACATGTATACACTTTACAGCCCCAAAATTTAACGACCATTTTGTGTTCAATACTTACATGACTAACAGAAGAGTGTCTAAGAACTTCCATTTTGCATAGGATCTGTCATTTCAAAGAAATTTGAGGGGAAAATGGAGGCCATTTGAACGTGTAGTATTATAATTAAAGTCTGGTTTGATTACATCTCTGAAGCCGTGCGGGAAAGAATGTTTCAACCTGATGCTACTTCACTTCAGCGGTTGTGTACAAAGTCTATGGAGACTAGTCAAGAAAAAGTACATGTATTTCCTAACAAAATTGACATTTTTTTCATCAGTCCCAGATTCATGTTTAATCTCATTTTTGCAATGACTGACCTTCATTGAGATGACATACATGTATGAAGAAAAAAGCAGGGTCAGGTTACAACGTTCCTTCTGCCGTGCGATAGCCTGCATCCTTTACGTGCAAAGTAGTAGGGAACCCTCTGGCTGGTCCGGTGTACAAATGTACATGTTTCTGTTCCAGCACATAGATGATTCTCATTTGTTGTTCCAAATCGGTTACTCACGTTACGAAAATGTAATGTGAGTAACCGATTTTGTGCATCTTGTTTCTGGATGTCATCTTTGGTGCTTAGGTAGGTCTAGGTGTACTCTATCTACCATGGGGATAACAGTTATTAAACACCCTTTCAGTAGGGTAATTACAGCCCAAGGAAACTCAAAAGTAGATCAAAAGTGTAACATGAGTAACCATGGAATTGCCCATTAGAAACATATATTGCGAAGTATTTGCAATATTTGTAAATTGTAGGCAGTGTTTATTTGGCTGTGAACCAGTCCCTGATTTTTTTTTTCGCTCTTTTTCTGGCAGGGCACTGAACATGCCTAGTGAGTGTTTTTGGGGGACTTTGAATACATGTAGAAATATTTACTGTGACGAATCTTTGTCTGGTTCCATGCTTTCATTGTCGTTCTGACTTCGTGTTCACGAGATGGGAATCAGACCTTATACAATTTTGGACTTTATCTCCCTTTCAAAAAAATCCTCAAAAAATCATCAGGTTTCCTGATCTGACAATTCCCCGACGTCTATCAATTGCTTAGTTTCGTCTGAGGCCTGTAGGGTCAGGGATCCAGATTACAAGAAATTTGTTTTTGTTTTTTTGTTTTTCCAGAATGAACACAATACTCTGAACAGGTCAGTGTAACAATGCATTATATTTGCTATAAAACACTAACCTGCAAATCCATCAATTTCTGAAAATTGCAGCAAAAGTAAATGTTGTATTATATATTACCTTTAAAGAAAAAGAGAACATATTGAAGGAAGTGATGGATCAAAAAAAATATATTCTGATTACAAATTTCAGCCGGAGACAAACAATGCAGGCCAGCAGCTGTATCATGTGGCTATGAACAGATTAAATATGCCCGCTGGTCAAGGCCATTCTCATTGTATTAAAATATGCAGTTTGCATAAAACTGATATCAAATGTACCATCAATAATGAATTGACAATGGTGTGGCAAATGGGAAGTACTCCCAAGATGCTTTGTTGTGGTGTAATGACCATACCCTGTAGGCCTATGTGAAACAGTTGAAATGCTTCCAGATAGTGGAAATGCTTTGTAAATCTTCAGCCGTTTTTGAGATACGGTGGACACAGTAGGACATGTAGGAGGGTGGTATTTGGTCGAGGGGTAAAGTTGGTAAACTCCTCTGTATATTTACCCAGATTTACCCAAATACTTGTAAGAATAGCTCCCTTCATGTCCGACATCGCAAATAGGCTTATACAGTTGTGAAAGTTAAATGTTGCGAAAGTACATGTGCCGGTACCAGTACATGCTTTGGTGTACTGTAGATCAAGTGCGAAAAGTTCCAACTTAAGAGTTACATTGTACAATGTAGACCTACTCCCCGGTACACTACAAATATACACATATGTATGTATCTCATATCCCCTCCCCCACAACGGATCTTTATAATATCCCTCCTATTATTTAAACAGTCACAGACAGTCAAAATCCCCATCCACTTCCCCTGCTATACTTTTAACACAGGCTAGTCACCAGAAGTCAGATTATAGGCTATGTCAAGCAAGCGCTGTGACTAGTCAAATTCAGTCAACAGACCATGAACAGACAAGGCAGGCAAGTTGTGGGTACAGCTGGCTTTTTATCGATCACCCACAGTCAAAACAAAGCAAAGCTGTTTCAAAGTACATAAACAGTCACAGCCAGTCAATCCTGCTTTATATACATGTAGGCTGGGAATTCTTAACTGTTGAAAACAGTCACTTGATTGATTTTGACTGAAAGGACAACTTGGCACATACCGGTATGTTTGCATACATCGCACATGAGGGTTAAATGGTTTGACATACAAGATCATGGCAGTGGTGGAATTACTTCTTTTTTTTTTGGGGGGGGGGGGAGTGCAACAACATTTGGAAAATCATTCAAAAAAATGTAGCATACATGCATGTTTAACTCCCCCCCCCCCCCCCCCCCCCCCGAGCCAATAATGGATCTGCCTCTGCAAGGATTATCATGAATGAAAAGAATTATGCAAATTGTAAAATGTTAGGAGATAAAACATTCTCAATTATCAATTTGAAAATAAAAGATCTCTCTCAGGACCGTCATTTTATTTTGAACCACTTCAAAGTACGGTATGAATTGAAATGCACAGTCTTGAGTTTTCATTTCTGAGAATTGCTTGTGGTCATAATGGTGAATGAAATTTATACATACAAGAACAGACAGTAAAGCCAGGAATTTACAAATTGTTGAGGAGCGAAGCATTTCCCAGGAAAGCGCCGAGGAGTTGCCAAGTATATTGCCGAAAATTCGTTGTTGATCATAACCATGTGCCCGATGTGTCATTTCTACATGTTTAATTTGCCAAGTACATATCTCTGGAATTGCACTTGGCTCGATCTCCCCGACAAATCCAAGAAGTATCGTTCGAGTGCCATGCCGTCTACATGTATAATTTCCAAGTACATAATTCACTATTGCAAGACATTATGTAGAGACATGTGAATGAGTCTGGGGGAGAAACCGAAAGACCTTGACTACAAAATATCAAAGGTGATTCTCGGGCGTCTGTATTGACTCTAGAAACAGCCCAAAATCTTGCTGCAGAAACACAGAATGAACGGGAAAAAAAAAATGTACGTGTACAGTACATGTATGTACTGTATATGTATTCCAGTACAGTACATGTAATTTGCAATTTGAAATGTACGTTTTTGTAAAATCTTCAAGTCAAGTAACTATGTATTACATACAGGGCATTTTATTGCACTTTGGTTTAGTAAGGTGTGGAGAATGATGCAAATTTATACATGTATACGGATACATACACACATGTTTGCAGATACAAATGTATACAATGTACATGTACATGTACGGTCACACAACAAAGAGGGGGCATAGTTGAAATTGGATTTATAATTAACAAAATGGCTCAGGTACTGGAACATGAATTACTTGTACAGTACATGTAGATGTGCAGCATACAGTTGTACATGTACCAGTAGCACCACCATGTATAATTTTAAGGAGTCATTTTGGTTTGTTACTGGTACATGTATGTTCTGCATTCGTACACTCAGGGTCGTTTTATGTACACATGTTCATCATGTTCATGTAAGTGTACGATTTGTACTGTACATGTACAGTATACTTGTGTATGTATACATGTGTACATTACTGACTCATTCTTTGTCATTGTTGATTGTGTGCCAAGTGGTCTGGTGATTGTTTCACAGATTTTCATTTGGGAGTAACATACTGGTACATGTATGTAATTACATACAGTACATGTACTGTATGTACAATAAACATGAATAACTTATTTTTTAAATGACATAGATTTTCTTTCCATTATATTTGATATATACAGTGTATAAAAGTTAAAAAAATCAAGTGTCTTCCCAATTACAGCATGAAATCGTGTTAAATACATGCTGTAAAGTCTAACTATTAAGGAAATTTTAAAAGTCTATCTATTGGTAAAAAAGTCATTGGCAGTCATGATGGTCAAGTCTGAGTGCGAGTCTTTTGCCGAATTGAGTGGCGTTTGAGTCACCGAAATTGCTACTCAAGGCCGAGTCCTGGACTTGAGTCCTACAAAACTCCACCAAGGGTAGATCCCTCAAAAGTCGGATTCTAAGCTTTGGTTTGAAACTCTGCACATTTCAAATGTACTTGTGTCTAACCAAAAGAAAACCGGCCGTACATTCGATGTCACACATTCATTAAATGCTTTGAAATATTAGAAACTAAAGCGTTGTAACCCAAAACCACTGAAAATAAACAAATAAATAACAAACAGCTGTATAATGTTGAATTTTCAGATTGAAACCCTCTGTCATTGCACTTTAAAGCTCTTAGCCCTGTAAAATTGAAATGAAAGCTTGATTTCTCCCCAGAAAATGTTCAATTGTATGAAATCTTTCTCGGTTAATTTCCTCTTCCTGTCACGGTTCACGTAACCCAATTTGCCTTCATCAAAACGGAATACCCCAAGCGTGTTGTCCTGGTAATTGTTTGGCGACCCCGAGTACCGAGTATTATTACCAGGGGAACAAGCTATTTTTGTTTCTGTATATTTTTTTTCTTCTTTTAATATCGGTTCACATCTGCTGATGAACTCTATAGTGTTCTCGGCTTAATATAACCAAGCGTCGCATACATTTACACACTCAGTAGCACTGTTTGTAGAACA